GCCCTTGTGATCCAACCCCCTTTAGCACATGACCTTAACAGGAATCCAAGACAAGGTGAAGTCCAGATGTCTTGCTGGATAGAGTATGCATATGGTGGATGGGATAGGGTGGTACAGATCAGGCCAGCAGTGAGGATCTGGAGGTCTGGAGCTCAGGGGTAAATCCAGAGTAGAGTTGATCCTGCTGAGGTGTGGAGTACACAGTGGAAGGGGATCTGGGAATAAGTCGGATATGGGGTCCAGACATAGGCTTGGAAGGCATGGGAATATTATGGATTGTGGGTCCAGATTGTGGGATATGACACAAGGTTGCACCATGCTGGAGGGACTGCCCACCCACATCACAGATGACATAACCAACTCCATCCACAGCTATTCCTTCACCAACAATAAACAATTTAACACCCTTAGGCTGGAACTTTTTTCTCACCTGGTTGAGATCCATCACTTAACCATGGTGAATCAGGAGGGTCATATTGGCTAGGACATGCTAGTAGTAAAGGACATCCTTTGCCATATAGGTGAGGTATGGATGCTGCTGTACCATCTGCTCTATATCACAGCACAGGTATCTACTAGAGCAGGGCAATTTTTGCAACATCAAACCATCAATGCCAAATGACACCAAAACATTTTTGTTCAGGGTCAGGAAGTCATTCTCTTGTCTGGCTATAGCAAGACTTCCCATATTAACAACAAAGATCCTTGCACTCCTGCATTCATTTAAAATTGGGAAGGTGGATAGTGGAGTTCCTCACTGGAGGGCTAAGGCATGCAGAATCTCTCTTGGTATATGTTGCATATGGGGAAAAGGTCCAGCATGAATATAATAGGTGGGTCTCTGTCATATCCGCATATCTGGATCTCAGATCCAATCCATATCTCATCTCTGATCCTTTCCACATCTTATCTCCCTCCAACATCTCATCATCCAATCTGCCACTTGTCTGGTCCAGTCCACAATTCATCTGAATCCACAATCAGCGCTCATCTCCTTTCAGTAATCCCCTAACTCCAGTATTTTGGTTATCTATATATCTGTCCTACTCACTGATCCATTACTTATGCTTCATTTCTGTTTCATTATTTGTGATCTGTTTCTACTTACCAATAGACTATTCATATACTTCATACATAGCCTTGGACCCTGCTGATTGATCATTCCATTAGATACCTATAGTATATAACCTCCTGTAACTCTCTGTAACACCTCAGTTTGAATATCAACTTAGTTCTGCTCATTCCTGTCCTCTGGACCTGAGTATCACTACTCTCATCACCCTCCAAGACTTAGGATTGATTCCTATAGTCTATCTGCATCCGCCTCTGTCTACAACAGTCCACTACTGCTAGTGTCTAGTCTGGGCTCACCCGGATTAGCCTTACAATACTTATCCCGCATCCAGAAGTCATCCAGATCCGCTACGCTACCCATCTGACCCTCTGGATGTGTTAGTCTTGCCTTCCTGAAATAAGGAGCAATACTCAAGTAAGGGGCACAGCACATGAGCTGAGGCCAAAGCCCTTCAGATCCATTTAGCCTTGAGTACAACCTTAGCAGTCTCCTAGTTACTGCATTGTACTCATTCTCATCTCATTACAGCTTCCTCATCATAGACAATGGCCATTGAATGAACCCTGATGAGTGGTATGCAATGTTCACATAAGCCAACTGAGAGTATTTCCAGTGTGCCTGGAATGTGTGAGACTTCAGACAAGGTTCCATTGCCATGACTAGGGAATTCATCTCTCCCGACCATGTGTTCTCTCTTACTGATGACCTCTGGGCTGAGGGTGCAGACCACTTCACATATATTGATCACATTCATTATGGTACCATCCATGGCTCTGTCCCTGAACTTACTAACAATGTTATAGCAAAGCCTTGCTGGCTGTCAAAGGAATGTCACACATTCTATGGCCTCAGTCCTGGTGACTCCCAGGCGCCCATTTGAAAGAAAAGGTCAACCAGGGCATCTGTACCATCCTCTTCAGTTGATGTCTTGGTCATTTCTGAGGTTACCTCAACCACTGTCCATGTGGTATTGGATACTTACCTACAGAAAAACTTGGTACCACTACTCTGTGATGCCATTACCCAGAATATCTTGCCCTTCATTCTCCATGCCATGCAGAGCCCTGTTCCTGTTCCTGCAATGGAATTTGTTATTGGTACTGGACAATGTGCCCCAGTTTGGTCGGAAGGTATGCATCCAGCACCACTCACTAATCTAAGCTAACTTCAACTAAGTTATAATATATATGGGTGACCCTGCCTTGAACAATGTCCAGCATCCCACCAGATTCCCCACCCAATCCTCACCCTCATCCTTGGCTTCCCATCTCACTAACCCTTCTGCTACTCCTATGGATCAAACAATTGGTATGCCTACTCAGTCCTCATCCTCTTTTTATCTCTTGCCTTGTCCTTGTCCTTCTCTTTATGTTTTGCCTCACCCTCATTCTTTTTTTTATGCCTGGCCTTATTCTCCTCCCCTAGTTCTGCCACTCTTTCCATAACTCCAGTCTGTCAAAAACAGCCTCATATCTAAGGATCATCAAGCCAGTTGAACAGTAGAGGTGGACCTATTCAGTCCCAAAAGCACATTCAAATAGCAACCTCTTACCTTGATGCCATGGACTTACATATCAAAGAAGAAAATTACAAGAAATCTCATGCAGTGGCTTTCTCTTCCTAAGCAGAGTGTCTATTGATTGACAATGATTGAGACTCCTATTTATTCCATAAGGGGGCTTGCTCATCTTAGCCTGATGATCTAATCATCATGGATGAAGACAAAGAGATAGAGATTCTGACTGACTTTTCCTAAGAAAAGGAGGATGGATGGACATAGAAGGTGTGAGCTGCATTTAGACAGTTGTTTAACAATCCTGCTGCTAAAGAAAGGTCTCATGAATAGTGCAAGGCTATCATGAGCATCATGAGTACCAAAAAGGACACTATCATCACCCTCAAGACAGGAGGGGCAAGAGTGCACTATGGATGACTGCTCCTCTTATTGATCCTAGCCAGTGCTGTATTATTGTCTGCCCATTCATCATTCTTCTAGAGGAACAAGTAGAAAAATGCCTGCAATTTGGGCTGAGAGCACATAATTTTACCAAAGATAAGAATGTTCCCCTTGATGTTCAGATCCTCTTTGTATAGGTAGAGAGTGCTTCTTCTAAGGCATTCCAGGTGTATGTGGCCATGACTTGATTGACCACTGTCTTGACCTCACATCTTGTTTGTATTTAGCTTCATAGCATTGTCCCAAGGATCTTCCTTTATGAAAATGTTTGTTGATGAACACCATGACTTCCTGGTGTGTCATCCTGATTGCAAGGAACTATGGCATTACCCTGCTACACAATTTTCTAGGTGGCCAAAGCAAATCAACTTGCTCTCAGCAATGTCTCCTCTTATTCAACACTGCTAGTTATTTAAAAGCCTTTTTGCTTGAGCTCAATGAGGTCCTCATATATCACACCTGCACAGATCACCCTGAAATAGGTTTCCATGTCCTGTGCATCCTTCCAAACTGTTTCAATGCACTCCTCAAGTCCCTCATGTGTCAGCTTCAGTTAAAGATGAGCAGATCAGACTGCATGCTGGTATTTTTCAACTTAAACAAAGAGGCAGATAACTTTGAATATGCTTAATGGTAAGTGGTATCACTGTGGACTTAAGCAGCCCTTACCTTTCAGCCTGTTTGACAATTGTGGTCAGCAACAGGTAGTGGTATGACTGTGGACTTTAGCAAACCTTGTGTTTTGCCATGTGTAACTAGTTTGGTCCATAATAGCAAGTCATCTGACTGTCAACTTCACTTATCCTTACCTTTCACCATGTTTAACCATTGTTTTCAATGCAAGTGAGTGATATGACTGTGGTAACAAGGAACCCTTACCTTTGGACATGTGTAGCAAATTTTTTCAACAACTGTAAGTAGCCTCACTTTGGACTTCAGCAGCCCTTACAAGATACTCCAAAAATATGTTGATTTAAGAGCACCTTCCATGGAAGCAATCATCATCTCAAGTTTCATGACCTTGTGCTTGATATTCCTCTTATCCTTTCTCAGATATATTACCTCTGATTTGACTTTAGGTTGTGTGCATTTGTTGTGTGAGTCTCATGGGTAGTGCATAGTATCATAGATATATACATCAACATTTCAACTATTTGTATTCTAATTGTTGGAATTTGGACATTGAGCATGCTTACACCAAGTCCATTTGACAGAACAAAGTGTGCATTGTTCATTCTATTGTGTTTTACCTTTGTCTTTCTTGTTTAATTATGTGCTCTTATGTACACTAAAAACTTTTGTTTGCTATGGCCAGTGCCATCCTCCATTGTTACAGTCTCATATACTTACAAAAGCACTTGAGCTACTTAGTTACTGCTGATACAAGCTGTTATCTCAGACATTTGCCTTCATGCACACAATCTAAGGTAAGATACCTGTTATCTACTTACTTTCACTTTTACTTACTTCAAGCAGAGTATCTGGTTATCACAGGTTATCACAGATCTGCATAAATAAACCTGTGTTATTATAATACCAATATTGTGTATTTGAGCTTGGAAGTACTTGCAAATGTAGCAAAGATCATTCTGGACTGCTACATGAAATTGAATCCTATTCATATCTTATGGAGTGTCAGGGTTATACCTACAGAGGACAGTATCAATTTGTTTGAATCATACAATCACACATATACTACAGTACACTACTAATCTCATACTAACAAAAAAAGAAAAAGCAGAGAGGTATGGGAATTAGACAATGGAAAAAGGTGGCCACCATCATTAATGATAAATGCCCATAGAGGTAAGATACCAGCCCCCCATGTTCCAGAAAAAGATACAGATGCTACGTGCATGGCTAATAGACAATCAGATGGCCACCATCATCAATAGCAGACACCCATAGAGGTGAGAAACCACTCAACATAGTCCAAGGGTTGCATGGATGTTAAAAATCAAATGAGGAATGGGAAGGTGGCCACCATCATCAACAGTGAACACCCATGGAGGCAAGAAACCACCTGTGAAGGTAATGATAAGGAAACAAGAAAGAAAATTGCCAAACATCATGTCATGTGACATTCTAATGCCACAGCAATATCAATCAGAGTTTAATCACTACAGGGCTAGCTCAGGTGAGTTCACCTGTCATTTATAAAAGGTCTGTGACCATGCCAGCATGTGTATTGATGGCCTCAACCAACTTACCAATGATGATGGTCTGACTTTTATGATCTTGATCCAAATTATCATATATTTCTCATGAAAGCTCACTAATATTGATCTCTTGTTTCTATTACAGCATGAAAATAATGAAATGAGATGAGTTCCAGTGGCCAGAATCATTTGCTTCCATCATAGCTACCCCACTTATAACAGCTCCATTGGGTATTGTAACAAGCACCAGCTTGGCACAGAAAACTAGTAGTCTAGTGAAGTTGATAAAAATCTCTCAGGTCTTGAGTGAGATGACTAGTTTTAACTGCTAGCTGGCCCATGCAGAGGACTTAGAGCTACAACATACAAACAAACTACATACAGTGGAGACTAGATATATTCAGCAGATTAAGGTTGCAAAGACAGAGCTGAAGGCTGAGATCAATGGTATGAAGGAACAGTTTGAGAAGAAACTGGCCAGCTTGCTTATGAGTAAGAATTGCAATGATGCAGGAGACATGGCTGAAGCAGAGACCAATGAAGGGTTTGAGAAAGATGTTAAGAAGCTTGAAAGGAGTGCCCTTGCATTTGGAGACAATAGTCTGAAGGTAAGTAAATCAGCAGATCTAGTACATGAAGAGCATAGTAATATGGTATCATTTAGGCAATTGTTCACATTGTATTTCAGATGTTAATTGGAATTGCAAAGCTTCCTATAAATATTCTCCACCCATATCAAAATGATGATGAAAATTAGCCACTCAATCCTACCACAAAGGAGCACTTGATGTGTTTTTGCTGGGCTGAATCTTATTAGCATACTGATGATCATGTCAGTGTACTGCACATTATTGCCTACATCTAACAACATTTTGCTACTGTTTGCACTAGCAATAGTCCTACTCTTCATGATATCAGTGATGAAGACTTGTGTGCCTGTGTTGTTAAGAAGTGTCAGGACCTACAGAAGAATTTCTGGAAGGCTTGCAAGTTGTCTGGAAACCTGACAATACCCCTCACTGCTGCCTCAGACAGACTTGAAAGTACTCCTCCTGGGCCACAGGCTGAGGTTGTCATTGTGATAGTGATTTTATAATTGAAACTACAAAGTCATGTCAAAGGAGTAAGTTTGAACCATTAGACCTCAATAAAACAAACACTCACCTGGATGCCTTAGAAGCTTGAAGTGTATATCTGAAAAAATAAGATCTGTTGGAGGTGTCAGAGTTCAGGGATGAGAAGTATGGAGCATGTTAAGGTTGCATGCTCAAGGGGGGTTGGATCACAAGGGCTTGGCCTCAGCTCATACACTGTGCTTCTTTCCCAAGTATGTGCCCTTAATTTCCGGGGCTAGAATAGTCATCCAGAGTTTCCAGGTTTTGACTAGGGCAGACAATGAATATTCAGATATGAAATGTGAGATAAATCTGGCAGATGTCCAGATATCTATTGGACAAGTGAATAAGGCTAATCTAGATGAAGTCTGGACTAGAAACTGACAGAGGATAGACTACCCTAGGATAGAGCCAGAGATATAGTCTAGGATACAATCCTAAGACTCAGATGATGACAAGAGACTTAACTCAAGTCCAGAGGACACAGGAATGAGCAGGAACTAAGATAATATTCAAACTAAAGTATTTCCAAGAGTTACAGGAGGTTTATATACTGTAGGTATCATATAGGAATCAGTTAGCAAACACAAAGGCTATGTACGAACCATATGCAAAGTCTATTAGTAAGTAGGACTATCACCAATAATGGATACCAGAAATGAAATGTATATAATAGATCAGTAATTAGAAGGGAAACATAGTTAACCAGAGTCCAGAGACAGGGGAAGTCTAAATGGGGTTGGGTATTGATATAAGGTTTGGGTTCTGGAAGAAAGATAAAGATAGATCAGATCATTGGAGATCTGGATCTCAGATCCGGATATCTGGAGAAGCAGATTTAGAGTTGAGGGTCCAGAATGGCATATAACAGAGCAGAACTAACAGAGTCCTTAATGTCACAGGATAATGATAAGGTGAATGAGCAGGGGTCAAAGGCAGGACCCTGTATATTGCATGCTGGAGAATATTGAAGTGGTATTGTGAGTATCACAACAACTGCCAAAACCTGACACATATGCTGATACAAATTGTAGATGTCAAGGTTCCTGGCTGCTGTCAAAGAAGTTGTGAATTTCCAACTGCCTTCTTACTTCACCATTTGGGTGAAAGATAATCCAAAACAACTGCCTCTATTAGCTGCAAAGCAAATTGAAAATTGAGCACATTGATTGATAGTATCAGCAGAGTGGCTCACAAAGGAAGAAAACAAGAGGCATGACTCACCCAGTGATATCCTGGACAGTGGCCATGTGTGAGGAGATCCTAAGAAGATGGTAGCAGACTACAAGTGGGTCAGATGGTAGAATTTAGTGACTATATATGCAGAACAGTGTGTACCTCATCTACTCTCCAACTTTATCATCTAAATAGTCTTCAGGTTCATTCCCCGCCTGAAAATGTTTTGAGACTGTCATGCAAGAGTTATAATAGTTTGTAGACTTACACAGTCGAATAAGATGTTGATCCATAGATCTTTTTGGAGGATGTTCAAGTGCACTGGAAACCATGCCAATAGGCACTCAATCTGCAAGACCAGAATCACTTCCTGAGAGTCCCCTGCAGTGTAGGAGACATGGACACTGAGTGTAGATGTGCTGAAAATGCATGGGCATTTCTCTCTCCTAATATAAAGATTTACTAGAGATCCTGTGACATTACAGGAATGACATCAAGAACACCAACTAAGAATAGCACTGTAATTTGAACAGGGACACAGGCCCTACCTATGAATGAGTATTGGCAGGAAGAGCAAGAAGGTACTGTGAACACATTCCAGTATGACATTGAACCAGTTGAATGCAAAAAGCCACAAGGGATATGCAGGACCAAACTTCTTGATCATATCAGCTGTATTCATTGAGGCTTGATAGCTGATGGTAAGTGGGATGTGAAGCTGCAGACATCCCAAGCAGTCATGGGCTAGAAGGCTCTGACTAGTGTGAGCCCAAGCCAAAGAGATTGTGTAAGATGTGAGAATTCAGACATCAGTTCACAGGAACAGAATAGCCAGATATAGCAAGCAGCAGTTATGTGAGCAATGTGGAGAACATCAAGTATCTTGAGAATGGTGGAGTCTGTAATTATGTGAGGCTCAAGGAGATCATAGAAAGGCATAAAGAAGAGTTAGATGAGATGAGGAAGAAATATGAAGAAGAGGTTTAATATAAAACTGTGACACTCAACATCTGGATGAACAATGTGAAATGGCTTGACATGTAAACAAATGCTCAGAGGAAGGAGATAGAGGACCTTATTAGTCTCTACATTAAAGTTGAGATGGAGAGGTACCAAGCTGATGCTGTCATCAGAGACACAATCATTAACTTCATGAATCATGCACTCTTGTAACCCATCAGTTAGACACATGTTTTTGATATTAAATGTTTCCTGCACCACTAACCATTGCTGTACAATAGTCCTTATAACTTACTTCAGACACATGTAATCCATGACACCCTTCTTCAACTCCTTTGATATTGACTGTGATTCAAGCAAAGATCACCAGGCAAGGACAGGATGGCTACAATGCAGAACCTAATTTCTTCCATAGAATGCATTAAGTTTGTACAATATCATTGACATTAGGACAACCACAGTTTGATAAAAAGCAATTTGAGAATTGTACAATATATTGAAAGCATCACAACTACTCATTCCCTAGATGCCTTTTGATGCACTGCAGCTGCTGCCTTAGTTCTTTGCACCTGAGTTTGGCATTCTTGCCGACTTCCCTCATGCATTCAAGATGCTACTCCACCTTCCTGACATCTACCTCCAAACATTGCCTCTTCTTTTGATCAATCTTTCTCTTCTTCCTAGCACTCACATTCCAGTTGTTCAGTCATTTTCCTAGTAGTATCACATCACTCGAAGAATCACATGAACTCCTATGTGAATGTGGAGGATCTTTATTTTGGATGACTATGATATGATCACTTTTAGAATAGTAAAAATTGGCAACATTGGATAAAAAATAAACATACAATTAGTGTACTGCTCATGACAGGTGACACAAGCTTCATCTGGCTGACCCATGCAGGAGGCACAACCAGGGTCTCTCACTGTGCATACTGGGAATGGCTGCATCTTCAAATGTTAAACTCAGTGAGTGATGACCTTGATTGATCAGCATGGGCAAATAATTTATAGTGGTGTTCAAATATGGATATAGGCATAATGGTGATTTTAGAACAAGTGGACTATCTCACTGTTGGCTAAGATGCATTCTGCAGCCACTTCACCCAAGAGTAACAATGCCCTGTTGAATGTATATTCACTGGAAATTCCTGATAAAGTGGACTGTAGGTCACTTTGTCAAGAGATATTCAGCCACAACATGCATTAGGAGTCAACAAATCATTATTGGCCCTGTTTATTTCAGCATTGTAAGATATTTACATATAAGAAGATCTGACAATACACCAATGATGTCACATTGCATGCAAAGATCAATATACTTGACTGTACTGTGCAACTAAAATAACATCTGGCCTCAGTGCATAAGGGAGTCCAAGAGATATAAGGTAACAGTAAGTATTGTATCTAGTTATGCCATCACACAATGTATCTACTAGTCCACAAGGCATCTCTTCAGATATTTCAACTCATGCTCCAATTCTATACAGGCTTCCTCAGCCCTGCAGTGCATGTCCTGGATTTTGGACAGATGCTGCTTAATATCCTTCAACTCTACCTCCAGTCTCACACATACCCTCTCATCTAGCAGCTTGTTGACCCAGCAAAGGGAGGCATCAGAAAGCTCTGCTTCTTTGTGTTGTCTTTGTTCCCTATAGCGTGGGAATATGACATTAGTGTGTGAAAATATGGACATTTTAATCTGGTGACTCATTGGAACACTTTTTTGACTTTCAATTTGATCAATACAATCACTATAATTCTAGTACATGGTGTGTCCTCCTGTTGCTCTAATCACCTCTACCACTCTTATAAACATACTTTCTATCAATTCCTAGCATTGCCCATTAATAATCTTCCCCCACTATGCTGCAACTCCCTCCCATAGCTGAAATAGCCCCTATTCTCATTCTCAGCTCCTCTCATCTGTCTACCAGGCAGATTTCTACTACAGCTGGTCTGGGCAGGAATACTATTGCTAGACTCATCAAAATGGCCGGACCGGGATATGAGAAGGTGGATATAGTCCAGAATCTGAGATGAGGTGAAGTCCGGATGTCTTGCTGGATGGAGTGTGGATAGGGTAGATGGGACAGGGGGGTATGGATCAGGCTAGTAGTGGAGATCCAATGGTCCGGAGCTCAGGGGTAAATCCAGAGCATAGTTGATCCTGCTGAGGTATGGAGCACATAGCAGAAGGGGATCTGGGAATGAGTTGGATATGAAGTGGGGTCCAGACGTAGGCTTGGAAGGCATGGGAATATGATGGAACATGGGTCTGGATTGTGGGATATGACAAGGGCCCCAGTTGGAGAGATAGATTTGACTGCAATGCCTCAGGTACACATTATATAACTACTGCATGTAACATCTACTCATCACTCAACTTCAGAAGAACCTGTGCCTCCTAGGAGACAGATCCCAAGATCTTTGGATGATATTGAGCATCTGGCCAAGGATATCAATGACTCCAATGATATTGTTGATGCTCCACCACTACCAGGAATTTAACATGTCCTTTTGACACTAAGGGACACCCTACAGACCACCTTTAACTCCTTTGGGCTCTGCCAACTATACCCTCATCACCCTTCCTTTGAGCCAAATAAATTCATTCCATCATCCTTACTTGTACAGTCATGTCCAATGGCTGTTCAAGGAACAGATTACTTACCAAATGTCTTTCCACCGCCCTACCCCTTTCCTAATATGTCAGTGTACTGCCTATGTCCTGGATGAACTTGGGGAACCACCAAAAGTCAGAGACTGAGATCCAATGCCTTGTCAAAGATATTTTGCAGGCAGATGATTTCAACATCAACCACCTTGATGGTTTCTTGGTGAGGAAGAGCTTGTGAGAATTAGATAAGGATGAGGGTAGGGAAAGGGTCATTCCCCCAGATGACTAGGTTGAAATGAGTATTACTATTGAGATTCCAACCAAGTCAAGGAAAGAAGATCCTAAGTCATTTGCCATTCCCAGATTCCATTACCAGCCTCTTGTTGAGATAATCCATGCAGCATTTGCAGATGTCCAATCAGGGGCATTCCACCTCTTACCTTTCAAATGGCTATGGAAGGATCCTTTGGACAACCACCAGGAATGCATATTCAATGAACTCTATACATCTGATGCTTGACTGGATGCTCAGGATGATCTTCAGAGGCTGCCAAAGGAACCTGGTTGCTCTTTAGAACATGTCATTACAGGCCTTATGTTCTTTTCGGATGCTACCCACCTGGCAATTTTTGGAACCACAAAAGCCTGGTGTCATATGCCATTCTGGACTCTCAACTCTAAATCTGCTTCTCTGGATATCTGGATCCAAGATCCAGATCTCCAATGATCTGATCTATCTTTATCTTCTTTCTGGAATCCAAACCCTATATCAGCACCCAACCCCATTTAGACTTCCCCTGTCTCTGGACTCTGGTTAACTATGTTTCCCTTCTAATTATTGATCTGTTAGATACATTTCATTTCCAATATGCATTATTGATGATCCATCCTACTTACTAATAGACTTTGCATATGCTTCATACATAGCCTTTATGTTTGCTGACTGATTCCTATATGATACCTACAGTATATAAACCTCCTGTAACTCTCGGAAATACTCCAGTTCGAATATCATCTTAGTTCCTGCTCATTCCTGTGTCCTCCAGACTCGAGATAAGTCTCTTGTCATATTCTGAGTCTTAGGATTGCATCCTAGACTACATTTCCAACTCTACCTCAAGGTAGTCTATCCTCTGTTAGTTTCTAGTCTGGACTTTGTCCAGATTAGTCTTATCTGCTTGTCCAAGTAACATCTGGATGTCTGTCGGATTTATCTCACATTTCAGATCCAGACGTCTGTTGTCCGCCCTAGTCAAATCCTGGAAACTCTGGACAACTGTTCTAGCCCCCAGAAATTAAGGGCACATACTCGGGAAAGGGGCACAGCATATGAGCTGAGGCCAAGCCCTTGTGATCCAACCCCCTTGAGCACGTGACCTTAACACCTGGCTGCTTTACCTATACTTCAGCAATCTGACAAAGTATGTAAGATCGTTGCCTCAATCAGGAGCATGCCACCTAGTAGGGTTTTTGCTGTCCATGAGTCCTCCTGATTTTGGGACAATTGGCTACTAGCATTGATAATAGCTACTATTGTCAGTGTCCTGATGATGTGAAGGATGTTCTGAATGGCCTGTCTGGCATATCAAAGACTGGCATAGTATCTCTTCAAACCCACCGCCGCAGGGAGCTGTTTCAAGGGTGCTAGGAAGTCTTGCTTGATAATGATTTTCTTTGAGCATATTGCCATGGTATCATTCTAAAATATGCTGATGGAGTGCTATGGAGAGTGTTTCCCCAAATCTTTATGTATTCTGCTGATTATCACAAGAAGTGCATTTTTACTTTGCCTTCATTGAAACTGCCAGATTACTCATAACTTTCTAGGGCTTTGATTGCAACAATCAAGTATATGGGCTTATGTGCATGCCCTTGATGCCTCACATCCAGAAAGCTATTTGGTTCCCTCAGTCTATTGAGGGATATGAAAGCTCGCATAGAAAATCTTCATGTGTATGTTATGGCCAATGTTGTCAAGGCCCATGAGTATATTTACAAGCAACAAAACACTGTCGACGGTTCAAAGGTTGAAGACACTCTTGGAGAGGGTTCTTTGGTACCTATCTTGGTAAACACAAATGGCTCCTTACAATTCCTGCTCACCTCATACCAGCTGCTCATAGAATCAATTTGTCAAGAAGCTTGGTCCTTTTGGCTTCAACTCATTTCAAATACTTGTCATTGACTTCATGCATGAATGTGACTTGGGCACCTGGAAGTCACTCTTCACTCATCTAATTAGGCTTCTATATGTCTTTCCTTGGGGTAGTCAGCTAGTCGTGACCCTTGACAGCAGATATATAGAATTGGTACAATGCTCTGCTACCTGCCAATCATTCAACCTCACTGTATATTTTGCAAGATTCCGACCTTTGGTAATGGTATAATTTGAAAATTCACTAACAATACCTCCAAGATGAAAAGATTAGCAGCTCATGACTTTGAAGACATCCTACAGGTTTGTGTGTTACTCAAATTTCTGCATTAAGCCTTCTAACATGTTCTCTATCCTCAGTGTGCTATTCCAGTGTAGAGAATGAGATTCCTCCAGGCATGTATTGTGCATATTATGACTCATGACAACTGGTACAGCACATCACTCACTATTTATGACTTTCCCACAAAACATACCAGAGGCACAACACTTTCCTGCACTACATGACACATTCACATGCTCTTCCTGCACTCAGTCACCCTTTGTTGCACAGTGTCCTGGAGCCTCCATCCATCATCTAACCAGTCCCCTGGTGCATCCCTTTCCATTTATTTTCATTATCAGACCATTTCTGGCATTGTACAATACTTTATTTCATTATGGACCCTTACTTACATCATTTTATATACACTCAGAGCTCCCTATTTGCTTCTGAGCCCTGGGAGTGCACCTAGGCACAGCTTACCTGTTGCCTAGGAAGTTTTTGGAGATACATCAACCACCATCATGTCAGTTAGTCTTTAGAGTGAGAATCTATTATCATGAGTTAGCATCTATCAGAGTCATTCCCCTAGTCCTCAGCAACATTCTATTATTATCACCAGTCCACTCAGCAGCCTCAGTTCATGTTATCACACCATCTTTCAGTCTTTTATATGTCCATGCACAGCACATGCATTATTCCCATGCTTCACACTCCTACACACTCCATATTCCTGTGCACACTTTCAGCACACTTTACTAGAGTTGACCTAGCATCACTTCATGGATTATTGCTTTCCTTGCTTCCCCTAAGGGTCAAACACATTGCTCAGCGCACTTTGACCAACATTTAGAGAGTCAGTGGCTTCCTCTCACCCCAGAGGTAGAGCCATCTTTCTTTCTTCTGCTCTGCAAGCCAGCAGAGTTGTTAAACCTTCAGCAGTTCTCAAAGGGCTGTTTCCTCACAAGCATGATGCAGCTGTGCAGTCCCTGCTATATCAATTTGTGCAGTGGTATGTGCTTGCAAAGCTCAAGATGCACTCTGTCTCTATCTGTAAATTCTGAAGTAGTAGTTGTCCCCCAGATGTCTTTTGATGTATCAAGATCTTCCAACTCCTCTCAATTCCATTTGAACCTTTTTGTTTGGCTCCTATTCGCCATGTATTCTTGCCCATAACACAGACAGCACTCAAAGATATAAACACCATTCAACATGCTCCTTGTCTTATGTCTTATATGTATATGCTGTTCTTTGTGTAACTTGTCTTCCATCACCCTCGTCAAGACCAGAAATCAGAAACCCCAAGAGTGCTAAACATCAATTAGTTGTGTGGACTGTATTAATGCAAAGCATTACCTTTTGATAATGTTAGTTGTGTCCTTGATGTCTTCATCAGTGCAGTTTAACATGAAGCCCTTGTTCTCATGCTTATACTTGATTACTAGCACATTTCCTGGCACATTGTTTACATTCTTGGTGATACTGCCAATTCAATGGATCAAAGTGTTTGGAGGCCAATAAAGGAGACCATGCTCTTGAATGAAAATGTATGCATATTCCTCTGTTGTGTGGCCTGTGATTTTACATCTCCATTGAAAGTTCTATACTGAAATGTGATTGATATCACAAACTGATCTGGCCCAAGCATGTCCATCCAGTGCCTGCAGATCATATCTGCCATTGTGGGACTCATGGTGATCACTTTAAACATACCATCAGCACATGTTTGTGACACTGTAATGAATCAATTGTGGTGTTGATATCTTGTGAACCTACGAACAGTCCCCTCATAGGCATAGTTCAGTTCTGTGTTGTTGCTCATCTGGACATATTGGAGAGTGTTGACTATGAAGGAGTACAGTGAGTGGCCTCTGGCATGAGTGTCTACCATGATGAGGTTCAGATCATTCAGTGTACTCTCCTCTCCCAGCCACAATTTCAGTATGCACGAGCCTGTGATGACTGTGTTTGTGATGTGCATGACATGGCATAGGTGTGCAACACAGCCTCTGATGAATAGTTCAACCACAGCAGCAAACTGTTGTGGTATGACATTCATACCTGCAAGTTCTGCATCCTAGCATGTTGCGCTAAATGCCAATACATCTAAGAGGCAAGTGAGATGATTGTAGATGTTTTCCATGAACATCTCATTCTGAAAGACTGTTTGCCATTAAGCTATTCAAGACAGCTAGTCGCCTGGGAAGGTTTACTTACTAGACAGCTCCCTGTTGGACATCTTAACTGGCATTGCCCCCAGTAGACTGTGATATGTGGTCAAGTTGAATTTTAGCAAGCTACCTGCTCTGCATGCCCATAGGGCAGAGCTACCTGCATGCTCCCAACATGAAGCTAGTATCATCATGGCACACAAATTGGTTGTGATGTATGGATCCAACCTTGTTGTAATCTCAATTTCCTCAAAGGATCATCTGATTGACAACTGCAACATGGTTTAACATCCATTCAGGATACAGCATACCAAACCTCCTGCTGTCATAAACAACATATCTGCAGTGGTGGGGGAACACAAAACGACTTTGAACAAGCTGTTGATCTTAGCCTCCATGACGGTAATAAATAGATCCCAGAATTTGAACCTTGTGAACTACTGTGCAGAGCTATTGAATGCATAGTGGGGTTTGGCAGACCTATCAACCCACTTGTAGAGGAGAGTGTTTTCAATCAAGGTATGGAACAAGTCAAACCCCCTGTTTGTCACAAGGATGTTCAAATTATTGATGGGATTAATGTCCCCACTGAGCATTTGCTGTGCACATGAGCCTGTGATCATGGCCCTTGTGACATGCATAGTGTGGCACAACTCAGGGATGTACACTCAGACAAACAGTTTGACAATATGGGCAAACTGGGCTGACACCACCTCCAAACCAACCTTACAAGTGCAGGTGTTTGTGGCCCTTCATGCCAGGACATCAATAAGGAGAAGCAGGTGCTTGTACACCTCAAGAATGAGTGTGTCAACATTCAAGACTGCAAAAGAAGTGAGATACAGCTCTATGTAGAAGAAGTGCTGCATACACCAACTAGAAGCCTGATTCATCTCACACAGCAATTAGCAGCGGGTGGCATGATTCACAGTCGGGTTCTGATGGCAAGAGACAAGTGAGTAATGTGTGTTTCATCTACAGATAACCACCAGCCCTCACAGGCAAGTGCTGAATCACATGTGAAACCCAAACAACAGGCACAGGTTTTATTGTAAACTGATAACCATGGGAAGAAGAGATGCTCGAGATTAGCACAATGAGCTGTCAAGGTCATTGTATCAAAGGCATGATAGATGTTGGTCAGTGAGGCAAAGGTGATGATCACATAATCAATGTGTTGTGGCTAAGAATATGCTATGATAGATGTCAGTCAAGAGACTAGGTTGCAGCATGTGGTAGTTACCAGTAGTATTCAATTAATCAACAGCACAGAAGATGTCAATGCTTGTTCTATAGTATAATCTGGACAAGCTGAGTGGTAGATTCAATGAGTGACCTGCAATCAATGGTAACAGAAAGTGAGGATACAGACCATGCTCCTGTAGCCTATGAGGCTAGGCCAGACATGTTGTCAGCCTCTGCTACACTTGTGCACAGGTCTATCAACTTCAGTTGGAGAGTGAACTTCCTCATCCCTTCATATTTTATTCATAGCAGAAGGCATGTCTTGATCAAATGTGGCACTCACTTTGGCAGGTCTCATTTCCATCTCAGCTTCAGTATCAGGTACTACCATTATTTGTCTATCTTGCAGTTGGCAGTAGATGTAAGTGTTGTGTTCAATAGCTTCAAATCAGTGGACTTCATGAATGAGGTCCAAAGGAAGTGGCTTGTTCAGCTAGTTCAAAGTCACAGGTTCAGAGATACACAGACCCTCACATGAATGTGCTTATGATGCTGCAACATAAGCACCAAAACCACCTTCATGCAAATTGACTAGTACACTGGGCAAAGTCTTGCCCTGCACTGAGTGACTGGTCACAGCAAATGCAGGCTGTATTGGTAACTGAAGTTGAGTAATCCATATCTTGTGCTCAACACCTTGATCATCTCTTAACAAAGTAGTGAAAATCCAACTCACAGGCACAATAGGGAAACATCCTGCAGGCAAATCTGTCAATTTGACTTTGGATCCAGGAAAGTCAACAAGGATGCAATTAACATGAGTCAGGCCCAAAGGACATTTAGTGGAGAATATATGTCAAACAGAACCTCAACCAGGCAATGAACGAGAAACCTTAGCTGAGCTGAAGTCCAACCAAATCAATTGAAATCAGTCACTCAGTGTCAGCAACTCATGGGAACATTTATCTAATGCATTTGCAAGAACAATGTTCTGTGCAGGACATGAATTCTCAGCCTTTCTAGCATTCAATACCTCTTGAACTGCATTGGTGGCTATGATGGCAACTGCATTGTGATTTCCACATGCAGACATGTCCACTCCATTAATATGATTAGTGGACTTAATCACACAGGATTTGAACAGCTCAAGATCTTTGAATGTGCACTGTCTAGTGTGAAGGCAAGTCACAGCATCACCATACTCAGTGTCAGTTTTCATTCACTGTTGCTCCTGGAGGCTTACAATGGTGTTAATTGTTTTCCATGCCATCCTTCCTAACTGTTTGTTAATCTCATCATCTGTCTGCCCTGCATACTGTGAAATTGGCATATACAATGCACTTCCACCCACAGGTTGGTACTGAAAGAAGTCCCCGGAGAATATCACAACAATGCCTCCAAACCATAAGTCAGGTCTTTCTTTCACAAAATGCAGAGTGTGGTCAATTTCATCTAACAATTGAAGACTTAGCAAGGAAGTCTCATCCACCAACAGAAGCTCAACATTTTTCCATTTGTTGCACAATTGAGACTTATTCTGCATGCTGACAATAACAGAATAGTCTTGTGCACTTTCTCCTGGCTCTCGGTTGCCTTTACCTTTGTTTACTGACTTAATTTTGATGCCTAGACCCTTATGAATTGTCATCCCATCAATAAGTGCAGCTGCTGAACCTGTTGGTGCCAGGAAATGAATGATATGGCCATACCCATAGTACTCCATGACAGTACACACTGCGTTCACTATGTGACTCTTCCCTGTACTGCCAGGACCTGTCATTAACATTGTGAGCTGGAAGGCACCATCAGTATCATTGCCTTTTTGTATGAATTTTTTTACAAAGTACTCTGCAATGATCCAGTAAGCATGCCATTGTTTTTCATTAAGATGATAATTATTCCTGATCTTGGTTATAACTTCTTCATGGGACAGTGCATCTCCTGAGTTTGCAGCACTTTCTGTATTGCAACCCAGACCAGCATCAACATCAAGAGCCATTGCATTGGCATAAGTGTCCATATCCCAGACTGGTACATGCTCCACTAGCTGATCAGGATTCAAAGCATTGCAACAAGCATTAGCAACATTCACCTCTTGTGCTTTTATCTCATTGTTTCAGGTTCTCAGGCACTTCAGGTTGCATTCAATAGGTGTGTTGTTGACCACCTCATCATTGCCTTCACCACCTGTGGATTCATTGACTGACTCAGACTATGGTACAGGGACTACAGAAGAAATTGGTGCAATCTTCCCCAACCAACCAGCTTGCTGGAGAAGCAGCAGTAATTGGTTCATACAAAAGTCTTCCTGTGAGCTTCTACCATGAGGATCTGGAAGCACAAGGTCAAGCCCATCATCCAAGGATAAAGTATTTGTTGTAGGTGTCTTTCTTACTCCCATCAACAGCACTTGTTTCCATAACCTTTCAGCATCTCTCTTGTCTTCGCATTCATGAACAGCCTCCCAGTGGTGCATAACCATTCTACTATGTGGCAAGAATTGGTACAAACATTGTTTCTGCTATTGTGCTGGTGGGGGGAACAAGGGGTTGGTAACACTGAATGGCTTGAAATGAGCCAGTGTGAACAGCACCCATAGCTTCACATTATTCACATGGGGAATGGACATCCCAACAACTCTCAGCACATATTCTCAATTACATTTGCCATGATCCTCATTGGTATGTTCTACCAATTTGTGTATACTACTTAACAGATGGGAAGGTTGCAGTGCATGCCTCTGCAGCACACCAAGTCAAGTTTCACTTGTATTCTTGATACCTTTACTCCTTGCTTTGGTCTGCAAGTGTACACAGCGACAAAAGTCATAAAAATATATCTCCTCCAAAGTGTCAGCATGGTGAATATAATGTTGAACTTGATTGGTCTCTACAATGTCACCTGTATTTGTTGTTGCAATGTATATGCAAGTCTGCTCATTGTTGTATCCTGTTTCAGAGTCACCACCATCTGAATCAGTTTCATACCCTAAGTCATCATTGGGTGTCTGTCCTTCTAGTACCTCATGTTTTTTGACATATGAGAGTAGTAATGATGATAACATTGGCACAGTTACATGTGAAGGAATACCATCTCCAAGGCCCCGGACATAATGTGCCACTTGTTGCACATGAATTTGCTGTTGACGATTGAACTGCAACAAATATTTATGGAGCAGCATCTTGGCCCCACCTTTAACACCATTCTCTGTCAGATTATCAGGTAGATGAGCAACTGCATGTGAGAGCAATGACAGCATCTCATATGTCTTAGTGCCCATTTTTGTAATATAGTCAGAGATGTAGAACATTGCAGCTTTGCTGGACAGGATGCACTTGAGATCATGGTTGTGACGACAGAATACAAGTATGTAGGGATTAAAATAATTGACAGTCCCATCATGGCACTGAAAAACAACAGAGTTGGTGTCAGGATCAATATAGGAGGTATCGACAATGTCATGCAGGAAGAGAAATCAACAACTTCCTTCATTACTGTATTTATGACAAACAGTGTGACATGTGTGGTGTTGCAGGGCCTCTCTGCACTTCTTGACATCTGTAAGGAAAACTGAATTTCACTCTGCAATCTTGTCTGATATGAGATTCTGTTGAGAGGCCAGGATTGGAGGGCAAGGAGTGTGCTCCACATGAAGATCAAATTTAGGGTCAGTTTCTACCTCAACATCTGGTAGATGATGGGAGATTATATCATAAAAGAAATCAAAGAATTTTTTCTGATAATCCTCATCATGTAGCTTGGCATGTATTTCAGAAGGATTGGCTGTGCCATCTAACCACAGGGGGTAGTGACCATGCAAAGAGCCATGCTCAGTATATTCAGACGATCCATAAAATACACATAACTGACCAAAGATACCACCTGCAGCACTAGACTTCTTGGCTTGTTCAAAACAGCATCTCCAAGACAACTCAAAAAAATCTGTGGCGGCCACAGGGTCATGCACCAAATGGAGTGCATGCTCATGGCCAGCAATCAACCTAGGAAATTGACTGGAGAGGTCCACCAAAATATCACCATACATCACCTGACAAATGGGACTGTGAGCTGCACTGGGATTGAAAGTGAAAAAAGGTGCAGCAATCCAAATTAACTGAAGTAGCTCCATATTTCATTGCAGACAGAAATCTTGGAGGCTTGAGAGCCAGGAATTCTAGCAGCAATGGTATTAATGTTTTTCAGTAAACTGAATGCTGTCTTTTCTTCTGCACTCAATTGAGATAGCTTATGCTCCTATTCCAAACACCACACAAGACTGTTGAGGACAGCAGGTGAGACCTGGGTAAGTTTTCTTGCTATGGAATCAAATTGAGCATTGCAAACAGTGAAAAATGTATTGAGATGAGCAGTATGCCACTGAATCATGTTCAAAGCCACAAACAGATAAGAATGGTAGTAATGGAATTGTTAAGAACCATGTTGCTCAAAGGAGAGAGAGACTAACTCAGAGGGGCTTGGCCTCAGTTCATACACTGTGCCCCTTACCCGAGTATGTGCCCTTCATTTCAGATGAGGTCCGATGATGGTCTGACAAAGTCCAGAAGACTTCTGGAGGCTGGCTACTCTGGTGGAGTGCTAGAGGACTTCTGGAGGAGCGCAGGAAATGTCTGGAGGAGTGCGGGAGAGTTCCAGAGGAATGCAGGAAGTGTTCAAGAGAGTTCCCACTGCAAGGTAATACTTCTACAGGAAACAGAATGGAAGAATAGGAGGTCCAAAGGTCCAGAGGACAGGAGGGCAGGATGATGGAGGACAGAAGGACAGGATGTCCAGAGGTATGAAGGACAGGAGGATAGGACATCCAAGGGTTAGGAGGACAGAATGTCCGAAGGACAGGATGCCCAGAGGTATGAGGGACAGGAGGTCCAGAGGTCCAGAAGGAATAGGGGCTACATTGGACTTCATCCAATGTAGAAGCACACAAAGGTAGACTACCCTAAGGTAGAGTTGGAGAGAACAGGGATTGGACCTAAGTCTGGAAAGAGGGAAAGTGCCAGAAAGGCAGAGCTCCAGCCTAGGGAATCAATCCCTAGGCCTGATGGGTAGGACAGACTTAGGTGGACCAAAGTCTGAGAGAGGATTGGGCAAGTCTAAGTTGAGGGAACAGGATCTAAGATGATATTCAAACTAAGGAAACTACAGGAGTATCTATAGGAGTTATATACTGGACAATATCTGAGGTGATCAGTAAGCAAAGGAGCAAGGCTATGTACGAGCATGCAGAAACACATTAGTAAGTAGGACAGAACATAAGTAAATGAACTCAGAGATGAAGACTCGTACAAGGATCAATAAGCAAGACAGAACAGGAGGTAACCAAAAGCCGGAAAGGCAGAGATGCCTAAATGGGGATAGGCGCAGGATATCAGACAGAGGGTGGGAATAGGTCCAGAGTTACTATCTGGAGGTCCAGGGGTCTGGGGATCTGGAAGACAAGGTGGATACAGGACTGGGATATGAGAAGGTGGATATAGTCCAGAATCCAAGACGAGGTGAAGTCTGGATATCTTGCTGGATGGAGTGTGCATAGGGTGGATGGGACAGGGTGGTATGGATCAGGCTAGCAGTGAGGATCCGGAGGTCCAGAGCTCAGGGGTAAATCTGGAGTGGAGTTGATCCTACTGAGGTGTGAAGCACACAGTGGAAGGGGATCTGGCAATGAGTCGGATATGGGGTCTGGATGTAGGCTCAGAAGGCGTGGGAATATTATGGAATGTGAGTCCGGATTGTGGGATATGACAGGAATGAGCAGTCTGCTAAATTCAAATAATACTGCACTTGCTGCTAAAAGGACAATGTGGTAGGTCTTGTCTTGTCCTGAAAGCCCCCAACACCAGAAGGGAAAAGAGTTGGGTACATACCTGGGATGAGATCAGGGTTATTGTACTTGTTGATCACCTGGGAACCATGATGAATGACAAGGTCAGGCTGCAAGCTAGAGCGAGAGTACAAGTTCCTGAGGGCTGCAGCAGTAAAAGTGTGCCCACTAATTTTATTGCTCTCAGGATCTGAAACACCCATTTTTTCTAACATCACCACAGAGATGTCATTGGTGTGGTCAATTGTGGCCAACTGCATATCACCATCACTGCAGTTCAAAAGTTCTGTGGGATGGACAGAAAACCCTGCTGTTTTGTGCTCAAAGACCATGTTTGCGTCAAGTTCATGATCCTCCATCACATGGTCAGACAAGCCTGGGAGGACATCATCCTCAGGATACAAAGACAAAATATCCAGGTCAAGTGCAACACTGGAATATAACCTGTTATGATGTTTGAGCCACAAGAGGAACTGCCAAATCATCTGCTTGCAAACATGGAACACTGAGCCAACTTTAGCAGGGTCAAATTTTCCAGGACCTACAAATATAATGCTCAGCAGACCATTGACATCTGCAGGAGTATGAGGAAGGACCAACACAGTGGAAACCATATTCATATCATGGGCACACGTATTGCCATGAAACACTCTGGGTTGAGAAGAATTAGAAGACTGGAACAAGCGTGTGACATGTGCAGTCACACAATAGATGGCACAAATTTTCTCCTGCACCCAGGCCAAGTCATGAAAATGGCCAGGCAGCTCACCACAGTAGAGATTGTTTGCCAATGCAAAGCACAGTATGCAGTCAAGCTTGGACAGGGCAATGCAGCATGCTGAACAGATACTAAGACAAATAACCAATGTGTCATCCACAAACACACCAGACTTGTGAAGCATCAGGCCATCAATAAGTGGAGAGCCGAAAGAGAAGGCCATGGACAATGGCTGAACAATACATTTGTGATTATGAAGAGATTGTGGATATAAAGGCTTTCCAGATTCAATACTGATGGCTGGTCAGATGAAATAACAATCAGCTCACAATCATATTCATATTGTGCACAAATGGCACATACCAGAGGCTGCGGTGCTTCAACTTGAGTTAATCAGCAGGAGATGGATCTTCCAAGGACAGTCTGTGAACAACAAAAGGCCCATATTCAAATTTGAGGATACTGACAAGATAATGCGAGTCTGAAATGTTGGATGGATGCTCAAACAGGTAATAAGTGAGCCACACATCACTTACAAGATGGAAGCCAAAGGCCTGCAGACATGAAGTGCATGCACGAATGTGGACAACCAAGCCATTGCACATCTTAGTTCAGGATCAGCTATTCAGTGTGGGACGGCCATTCAATGGCAGCCTGCAAATGGAATCTGACAAAGTATCCACAGAAAGCTTGTGCAAACATCACACAAGCACTTCAGTTGAAAGAGACATCCATGGAATCCGAGAAAGAGGTGGTGATAGAACCACATAAGACACAGGGGGTGGATGCTGCAATACATTGGTTACACCAGCACTGAAAATATTCACAAAGTGCACAGAAAGGAGAGGTAACAGGGAGCACCCACATGGCAAGGGTAACTCAATATCTGACAGTTGATCAACAGCAGAAACAGGCGATAAAGCACTGAACTCGGAGCAGACAGTTTGAAAGGATCATAGGATGTGCTGCACATGCTTGGCCTTGGATGCATGCTTGACTTTGGACCCAAGCAGTAAGCTACACTGGGCAAGGATGGGGATGGAAAGGGAAGAGAGTATATGCAACAATGTATTGTCAGCATAGGAAAGCCATGACAGAAACTGATCCAACTGAAATGTAACACAGGAAGCTACACTGTGTGCAGAAGCATATGCCAACTTGCGCAAAACATTGCAGTGATGATAACTGGGACTCTCAAACTTGGCAGGAGACATAATAACAGATGTATTGCTCTGATCAATGATCACAGATACACCATCAAAGGCAACACAGCCAGAAAATGGCAAGGAACAAGCAGGGCAGGATTCATGATGGTGTTGAAGAGATGACAAGAGCCAGGAACAAAATATATGAGGAGTTTCAAAGTGAGAGGTATGATATTCAGGATACTAAAGAGCATCATAGTAGACAGGATAAGCAGTTATATCATGAGGAACAAGTTCATAAGGGCAGGAGTGTTCTGCAAGCACCCATGGAACACAGCACAGAAGCTTCACAATAAATGGCCTATGAATATGTAAGATGGACTGCAATAGATAACAGGAATCACAATGACAGAGACATACTGGGTAGGGAGGCAAGAGAGATGGCAATAAAGGACCTGTGGAAATGTGAGTCAGACTATAACAGACAACATCAATTGAAGACAAAAGATACACACATTTAATGAGCAACAAACTATGCAATAATAGAAGCAAGACAGACAATTGTCCAAGACAAGTGGAGCAGAATGACAGAGACAGACAAAGTAGGGAGGCAAGAGAAACAAGAAGACCACATCAAAACAGGACAACCAGATCAAAGGATCTGTACAGTTCCAGCTGAGCTAATTGATTCACATGGTTGGAAATTAGGAAATATATTTGCAGGCATGTGTTTGCAGAGAAATGCACGTTTGTTGCAATGAAGAACCTTTTCCCACTAATCATGGGAGTTTGGGATCTCCCAGACCCATTCCTCACTCCAAATCCTAAGATTTGTACCAACAGCATGGGCACAAATTAATTCTTTCACAGTGCATTCCCACTACAGTCATTTCTATGCCTCACAGCCCACTGCACATCCTGTTATGTCTAACAATTGTTCAGAAATTAATGTTCACTACAGGTGCATACTGTAGCGCTTACCTTGGCATCTCATTTTCTTGCTTCCTCACATCACCAAGTTTTTTTCTTGTGGTGATCTTGTACTCGACTTCGTGGTGCCCATGAAAGTTGAATGTAAGACTTGTTGCAACACATAATACATGAGTATATTGCAGAAAGTACATCTCATCTGTATTTAATCCTCCTAAATGCAGTTACAGTAGTGGTCTCTCCTTCAATGTAAATAGAACATGTTGAGATTGATGCCATCCCTGAGCAGATCATCCTCTGCTTCAAATATCCAGCTCTCATCACTGGTTCTTCATCACCTTTGGTCCAATGCTCACCATGTGTGTTCTCCTCAATGTTGATACAATGCCAGACTATTGGCAGCTATTGGCTCCCAATGGCCAGTCCTGTGCCTGTTGCTAACAGAATTCTGCCCCAAGAAGGTAGTGAACACTTATTGGCACAAGATATATGTGCTTTGGACCCATTTGAAGCTGTCAATGATCCTGCTTTTGCAACTGGTCTACCCCACTATGGTTACCTTCTTGCTGGCACCATTGAGGTATGCAATCCTAGTTTTATCATTTTTGATCTTCAAACATTTGCTTCCTTAATTTAGGCCCCTGCCACTCACCATACCCACATCACAAACCACCATATCCCACATCAATTGGGGTTGGATATTCACTATCTTCCCATTGAACATGAGATAGATAAAACACTTGGAATCACCTGGCAAGAAAGGCATCATGACAGTAATTAACACATAGAATGCAGACTACAAATAGCTTGAGCAACTGTAAACTGTGTGTTGCTGTATATGAGTAGATTAGGTCCAAGTGGTGCCTATGCAGTAATTGTAACAAGTGTTCCAAGTTGAATGCTGGACATTAATTGTAGGGGTGTTAAAACTCTTGACAAATGTGGATGTGGCAGTAAGATTCTGCTGGTGATCTCATTACAGATGGCGAATAAGTTGAGCCAAGCAAAGACAACAAACTACTGGTGTCTACTGGTGTTAGTCCAAAGGATATCCATAGTGAAAAGTCCCAATTAATGGTGTGTCTATGGTATACTAGATATGGGTAAGTTCAATCCTCCATCTCCCCCTCAGAGTCTGCCACAAGCTGGTCACCCTCATGAGGCTGCTCAAACACCCACAGGGTGACCTGTTCCTGGGTGCACCTCAGGTTGATGCCAACCAATGGGCCTCCTTTTGTCCCAGAAGGAAGTGCCTTCCATGTGGATGTGTCCATTTTTCTGGTTGACCAGATGTGGTCCCATTGAGTGTATGGCACCCACACAAGCTTGTCAAACTCAACCCTCAGCACCCACCTGGTCCTGTCGAGGGCCTTGCCTGATATGATATGCACAAGAGCAAGGTAATCGCTGTAGTATGTACATTTCCCATAGTTTTGATGACCAGGACTCTTAGCAGCTGTGTTGTAAGTCATGGGGAAAAGTTAATTGAAGTGCATCTCCCACTGCCCCAGCATGCAGACACAGTATTGAGCTAGTTTGAATGGAAGTTCCATGGTCTGTAGGAGCTCTGGCTGCACCAGCTCGCACCACATGTTAACAGGGATCATGAGGTATGATCCAAGCTCTGCAGATTTCTGGTTAGGCACTTCCTTGATGATGTCAAGGAAAAATTGCTCATAAATTTTGGCAGCTCACTTGTTAGCCATGCATTCACCTTCCTCATTGTCACCTGTCCCATTAAACTCTCATTCATTACCCCCATTGACAACGTACAAGTCCACATCCCTGCCCCCCAAGCAAACAGCAGGCTTGATACAAACACCTTGAATCTCTGTGTCAAGGTGCAAGTGCTGTTGATCAAGCTCTCTGATATTGTCAACATTATAAGTCTTCCACTTCTTGCAATTTTGTATTCAATCTGGATTAGGGAGGTGCTTGCTAACTGGAGCTGTGCTCCAAGTAAACAAAGCATAGATGTCATCCATGGATGCTTTATAATAATTGCGAGCCATAGAATCTGCATCAAACATGCATTGCACAGGAATTTGAAAAAACACTGGGTTCCTGTTGAGCACAATGTTGCAGATGAAGAATGTGCCACAATCATATGGAATGGGCATGGTAGGGGTGTCTTTGTCATCCATGCCATCATCAGGGTCTTCAAGCACCTGTTGACAAGATCTCTCAATCAGGCCCTCCCATCCAAATTCCTCAGCAGAATGCATGAAGCACACGTTGATCATGTAAATGCAAACTGCTCCCAATGCCAGTATGGAGTCCATGGAATGTATCCTGCCATCTGCCTTTGTCAAGTTCATGAGGACAAGGCAGATTGCAGCCAGATAATAATAAATGAACAGCCTGGGACGACAAATCAATTCAAGGGAGCAGAAGGAAATCATCCAGATGCACTCACTACCACAGTTGTCTGTCAATGGCGACCACAGAATGCCCAATAAGATCCTCAGGGAGAGCAGACAGCAAGCCCATGACCTTGTCTAGTGTAACTTGAATCTCTAAACAGGCACAACCATCACGACCTGCCATGTCCTCTTGTTTGCCAGTGCATTCAAAAAAGACCTCACTCATGACATCCAGGTCCTGTACAATCTTCTCTTCCATCTCCTTTTGTAGAAGCTCCTTAGCTTGACATCAGCAGAATACTCCAGGATTCAGTTGGTATGTCATGTTCTTCAAAGTGCAATATGCCTGCATGTACAATATGCTACCTCTACCTGCAACATTGGCTGTGTTTGCATGAAAGCTGGCAAATTCTTTGACCTGCAACACGTGATCAAGGTGAAAATTGCCTTTATTCTTAATTAGGTGATCAATGTGTGGTATGGGTGCATCGGGCATGAGATGATTCAGGAGCTCTTGGTGACAGGACTTGTGCCAGGTGACAACATGCCCTGGTATGCCAATGGCGAGTGCAACATCCACCTGCCAGTCTTGTGCAACCAAGTTTCAAACATCGACATGCTCGGACATGTCTTTGAAAGCTAGCTGTCTCTCATATTCATCACTCCCATTGTGTATGGTGGCATTCTTCATCCCCCTCAGCTTGTGCACAAAATAGGCATCTTTGAATGCAGGCTTTTCATCCCCAAGTTTGGTTAGCAAGATCTGTGTGACATCTTCCAACCTGTACCATGGAATGTTGATGCTGCTGAATGTGAGTGTCCTGAAGCAATTCCTGAATTGGGTGTATGCAGTAGCATAGGAGGCAAGCCATTGGTCAGTTGATTCCAGGATCACTTTAGCCATCATAGGATGAAGGCAATGGTCACAAATAAGGGCCAAGTCCACTTGAGACACTTCTACTCCAAGTGAGGATGCACTATAGAGCCTAGGGGTGTGCCTTTGTTGAACTTTGCCTAAGGCTACATTGGGAATCTTATGCATAGGAACACAAATCTCAGTGCCCTGGTTCATGGTCAGCATGTATAACTTCATGATAAGTATATGTCTTGCCTGAGCATCATATGCCTTACTCTTGATATGATTGTCCTTTCTCAATGTCTCCTTGAAAGGAGTAAGGGGCCAGACTGCCAGTGCGCTAGTATAAGGTAAGGTATGAGATACTCCAATGGCCAAGTCAAGGTCATGAGTAACTGTGGTGTTAGGAAGGGGGGGAATGCCTTACAAGCAATTCAGACTGATGTGGCATTGGTTGAGTTCCTCACCTGCCTGTGGCCCAACGCTACCTGCCAACATGAAATGGATAAAATCAACCTCTGACTGAAGATCGCCCTTGGACGGCACCTGCTGGAACAGATGTTGAGAATGGCCAACAAAGTCTTCCATTGTTAGTTGGGTAAGATCATCAGCATCATCTGGGTATTGCATAGCAAGAAATTGTAATGACAGTGAGGACGGACACAAATTGCAATGAAAAGACCAGAGAGGAGGGGGGGATGAGAGGAATCATGCTAGTGCACTCTGCATTATAAACATCTGGCACCTGTACATCTTGCTTAAAGATTTCTTTCTTTCTAACTCAAAGGGCCAAGGATACTCTCAGAGAGTCCATGTGGAACCTTTTGTGCATCCTATCCTAATCTTGTTTAATATCTGTGCCCATATGTCATATTCCACAATCTGGACCCACATTCCATCATATTCCCACGCCTTCTGAGCCTACGTCCAGACCCCACTTCATATCCAACTCATTCCCAGATCCCCTTCTGCTGTGTGCTCCATACCTCAGCAGGATCAACTACACTTCAGATTTACCCCTGAGCTCCAGACCATCAGATCTCCACTGCTAGCCTGATCCGTACCACCCTGTCCCATCCACCCTATGCACACTCCATCCAGCAAGACATCCAGACTTCACCTCATCTTGGATTCTGGACTATATCCACCTTCTCATATTCCAGTCCTGTATCCACCTTGTCTTCTGGATCCCCAGATCTCCAGACCTCCAGATATTAACACTGGACCTATTCCCACCCTCTGTCTGAGATCCTGCACCTATCCCCATTTAGGCATCTCTATCTTTCCAGCTTTTGGTTACCTCCTGTTCTGTCTTGCTTATTGATCCTTGTATGAGTCTTCATCTCCGAGTTCATTTACTTATGTTCTGTCCTACTTACTAATGTGTTTCTGCATGCTTGTACATAACCCTGCTCCTTTGCTTACTGATCCCCTCAGATATTGTCCAGTATATAACTCCTGTAGATACTCCTGTAGTTTCCTTAGTTTGAATATCATCTTAGATCCTGTTCCCTCAACTTAGACTTGCCCAATCCTCTCTCAGACTTTGGTCCACCTAAGTCTGTCCTACCCATCAGGCCTAGGGATTGATTCCCTAGGCTGGAGCTCTGCCTTTCCAGCACTTACCCTCTTTCCAGACTTAGGTCCAATCCCTGTCTCTCCAACTCTACCTTAGGGTAGTCTACCTCTGTTTGTTTCCACATTGGACTTCATCTGATGTAGCCCATATTTCTTCTGGACCTCCAGACCTCCTGTCCCTTGTACCTCCGGGCATCCTGTCCTTTGGACATTCTGTCCTCCTAACCCTTGGACATCCTGCCCTCCGTACCTTCAGACATCCTGTCCTTTGTACCTCTGGACATCCTGTCCTCCTGTCCTCCATCATCCTGCCCTCCTGTCCTCCTGTCCTCCATCATCCTGTCCTCCTGTCCTCCTGTCCTCCTGTCCTCCTGTCCTCCAGACCTTTGGACCTCCCATCCTTCCATCCTGTTTCCTGTAGAAGTATTACCTTGTAGTGGGAACTCTCCTGAACACTTCCTGCGTTCCTCCGGAACTCTCCCATGCTCCTCTGGATGTTTCCTGCACTCCTCCGGAACTCTCCCATGCTCCTCTGGATGTTTCCTGCACTCCTCCGGAAGTCCTCTAGCACTCTCCACCAGAGTATCCAGCCTCCAGAAGTTCTCTGGACTTTGTCAGACCATCATTGGACCTCATCTGAAATGAAGGGCACATACTCAGGTAAGGGGCACAGCGTATGAGCTGAGGCCAAGCCCCTCTGAGTCAGTCTCTCTCCTTTGAGCAACATGGTTCTTACCACCATGTAAAGCAGCACAATAATACTTACCCACTTCTGAGTTGCTAATTAACTCCCAGCCACTCTGACTTGAACTCCTAAGGGTCCTCTATTGACTGCAGCAATTGAGTCTATTTCGACTGCACAACATGTATTTGTGAATGTGGTTTGAAAGTCATGTTCCTGATACAAACACATACATAATAATACCATCACACAGAAATTGGAAATGCAAACAGCTACTAAACCAAGTTAGTTAGTTAGTTAGTTAGTTAGACACTCAACAAAACATTTGAAGCTTTGGCCTAAGTGGGCGCTCTTGAACACATCTTGTATGTTATGTAACCAGGTCGATCAGTCATTAGTAACATATGGACATAATGAGTTTGACGATATTACACAGTTACACACTGGGCCAGCTGCATGCAAACTCTAGATCTGATAGAGACCCTGATTGATATTGTACATAGAACATTTTGATACATGATAAACAGATTTAGATCTGAGATATTCCAGCTGCTAAACAAACTGCAGTGTCTGTAATGCCTGCTTCCATACCACACTGCAGGTGGGTGTTCAGGACGGCCACTGTACACAGGCCCAGAACTCACTTGATGAGCTTATCCTGTTCCAGCTGACCTGGTTACTAAGGTAGTTAAGTGACATAAGTTGAGTTATGTTCACAGATATTAATCAGGAGTAAAACTTTGTTTTTGCAGGTTTATCTGTGAGGTAATTCAATGACTGTGGCTGCACAAGGCCCATTTTTTCTGAGGGCAAAGCAGGCATACCTCAAACAGCACTTCTTGGGACTATTATGTAACAGTCTCTCAGACCCTATAGAATGTTATTATGTTATGTTAGGTCTAAGAGACCTGGCCTCATGGAGGATCTAAATATAGCACATACCTAAACAATCTTGCTTCCTCTGAGTCCTGGATGCTTGTGCAGTCCCTCCCAGGACCCTCTGGATAAACCACGATCATTCACAACATCATGTCCCACCTCGTTGAACATCTGTGTAGGGTCCATAGTGCGCCTGCAAGATGCAGACCCTCTGCACTGTGACTACCACAGTCCCAACACTATTTTCATGCACTGAGTCCCTTTTTTGATCTTCAAGTTACCTTCTAACTACTGTCATGGTGCCTGCTATGCTCTCCATGTGGCATCCAGCCAATGTATGCAGGTTTCAACATCACTTTGTAAGTCCTAACACTGCATGTGCCTGTCTTGGCTGACTGTCACTTCATTCTGTTTCTTCTTCCTTGTGTAGCTTGTATTGTCATACTAACTTTAGCTTCACATGGATGCTGTCGCAGAGTGACTATTGGTGTCATCATTTCAACTGGTATGTTTATATTTTTGGAGTTTATGCTTATATTTTTAGTGTGATGAACATCCCCCTGCGCCAGGAGACTTCCTTGAACTGTGTGTTTTGTGTTCTGTTCTAATCATGTCAATCTCACTGTCTGTCCCAGACCCACCAGAAGTTCCTTTACTGTTGAAGTAGCCACTAACTGTGGAGGATGTTCAATTGATTGGTGGTTTCACAGGTGGTCATTCTCAAGGCACTGGAATGATATCATGGATCTGGCTGGTATTGGACAGAGGCACTACTGGTCACTCTGAGAATGAGTGTGTTCAAGGTTGTAAGTATTCTAAATGGGTGACATGATCTCTTACTGGTTTTGATTTAAGTGTCCACATGGGATCTCCTTGCTCTCTGCCTTCTGAGCTTCTGCTTGGGATCCAATTTTAGGGGCACAATTATCTGGTCTGTTGCTGAGGGCCTCCTTGCTCTCCACCTCATTGAATGTTATTCAAGCTTCTGCTCCAGGTCTCATTTTTGCAGCAAGACCATCAACTCACTAACTCATTCATACATGGTAGAGCCAGAGGCCCATGAAAATTTCATGGAGAACAGCACAAATCCCATGCCCAGCACCAGACGAGTCCACTTTTGACAATGCTTAAGCCTGTTCAGCTCACATTTGTGGTCTTGCACTACAGAAAACATCATTAACATTGTCCAGTGCTGGGCCATTGATAATTTGCTCATGATTAGTCCTTCATCTGAGTTTAGTCTGAGACACTGAGTGGAAGAACAATGAAGCTAATAAGAAAGGAGTTCACATGCATGTGGAAGAACCCTAGTAATCAGACTATTAACCCAGGGTTCCACATTCAATGTTTCAAGTTTGTACCGGTATGGACACTCCAACACCCCAAAGTCAGTGAAGGTACTACATATGGCCAAATACCATGAACCAATGAGTGAGAAGCAAGACCCTAATCAATATAGGGAAACCATGTGTAGGCCCAGTTTTCTGGTGGGAGGATCAACTTGAAGGGGGAATTCTATCAAAGCTCACCTGCATGTGCTTTCTCCCCATCTTCAGCTGCTCTTTCCATATTCATTGCCATGACCTGGGGAGAAACTAAAGTGAGTTGCAAATAGAATTTATAGTTGACAGGCTTATTCATACCAGCAACAGAGACCATTGAGCTCTGTAGTACCCATGGCGTATTCCAATAGTAATGCTTGTCCCACTCATGTCAACACTAAATAGACGTCACACTCTATGACCTTGCAGACTAGCCTGCACAAATTTGTGAAATGTTTCACAAGCAAAATATCAATATGCAACAAAGTTCACTTTCAGTGAGCTGTGTGATTTTCAATGTCCTTTCATGCCAAGCTGACTTTGTAGACATATCCCATCCTGAAAGTGAAGCGATCAGTTTTCCAAAAGGCTGCTCATAAGGATACCGAACCTTTTGCTGTGGATACTGACTCCATTGCCTCTGGCATGGACCTCCATCTGCACACCAATCCACTGCATCCACCTTTCACATTAGGGGTGTCACTTTGTCCACCCAGGGCTTTGCTCAAATGCATGTTTCCTGATGCTGTTATATTCCCTTTAGCACCTTTAGCCACTCTGAAATCTCCTTCATCCTCAACAACCACATCTTCCCCTATGTCCACCATTCAGGCTCTTTTCAAACAGCTCTGCGATCTTGGCTATTATTCTGAGGAGAAGAAACAATGGACATCCAGAGCTAATGCTCCTGACTTCAAGAAAGAGTACCTCAAAGATACAGAACACAACTTTGCAACCTTCATAGAGATCATCATACTCAAAATGCTCGAGCTCATCAGCACCAATTTTGTAGTGTGGACTTGGGTTGCCAGCGACAGAGATGCATTGTTGGGTTGTTTGGAGAGTCACAAACCTGACATCTTTGTCAGGTGTTGAGATGCACATGATGACTGGTGTGTTGTAGAAATAAAGAATGGAGAGTGTGTGGATCATAGAGCTTCCTTGGGATAAATAGCTGAATGTGCCTGAATGTTATTTAATGTTCAGGACGATCATAGGTATGAAGATCCTCCCTGCCAATTGTATTTAAAAATAACTTTCATTAGGTTTGCCCTCCAGATCTGCATATTGTAGGATCGATTTAGTTACAGTGTATGATCACAGAGGGTCTATCACAGCACCATTTACCAATATCAACACACAAGCCCTTCTTTTCTATCAGCTCATTTTGGGTATATCTTTTGCTGAGAGACACTACATTGGCTATGATACCAGTATCAGTGGGTCTGGAGCATCTCGTCGGCTGAGGTTAGACCTAGCTTGTGACAGGCTGGGCCTCCAGGATCTTGAAGTGCAGCTGGTACTTCATGTGACAGGCAGGATAAACAGCTGCAGAATGACCATCCACTTGCTGAAGGTCGTCTCAGAGGTAGTTGCCAATTTCTACAGCGATGGAGGCATGCAATACATGAGTCTTCCTGGCATGAAACCTGGAGATGAAAATTTCAGGATCATCTCCAAGAACTCTTGGGAGGAAGACAGAGAGGAAGCACTGAGTGAAGGTTCTATTTTACAGCTCCTTCATGCCAAGGGAGTTCAGGGTGTTTCATGGTGTTTAGACGAAAGGCCTGTGCCAGCTCCCAACCCACCCATCCCCCCAATGTCTGTGGTTTATCAACCTCAGTTCATTGACAATACCATGTATATCTGCTCTTGGTGGGGTGTGTGGAGTTGTGAGTGTTGCCATATGCTACACAAATCATGTACCAGAAGGACAACCTGGAAGTGAAGATGAAGAACCATGAGCCATCCTATATTCCCTGGCTCAAACAGGTTCTTTCCATACTGCTAGTGGAGAAGATTAAGACTGAATTGAAGGCATTGGCCAAGGGGAAGGGGAAGGGATGACATTCTCCATCACCATCTGCCATGGCTTCAATTTCACATACACCACAGATCGTTGACAATGACCAGAAGGGTCACACAACAAATTGTCACTTCATCACATGCAGTCATGTTTGGAGCTACATATACCCCATTGGCACTCCTATCTACTGGTTTTCCAGTCTCTTGGAGTTGCTCTGCATCCTAAGGAACCTTTTGGAATGCAAGTGTTTGCAACTTATCTGAAGATAATACTGATGCTGACATTTCTCAGTGCACAAGCAAGCTAGTAGTGTCTTAGCAAATTCTGGCAAGGGATCCTATTCTATTCTCCATCATGACATGAGCCTGTGGAACTTTATGATTGTATCTCAAAGGTGTTTGGATTGGCCTGTGGAAAGGGAATGGGTATCCAAAGAACTTCGAAATATCTGGGACTGTACTCCAGGGCAACTCTGTAACCCAATCCATTGAGGGTTGCTGATCAACTGGGGTTTTGCAGCACTTGAAAGTTCAGGATTAGGGGAGTTTGTTGACTTGACCCATGAAGATATTGAAGTTTTTGAACCCATAAAATGGGAAGCGCAACTGCAAGAGGTTGTCAATGGCAGTGAAGAAGATAATATGTGTCACTGTCTTCACCCTACACCTGATGTGCTTGCTGACACTTCTCTTGCTACCTACACTATTCCTCCCCTGTGGGAATGTGTGGATGGCACCCTTATATGTCTGAACACTCAGACATTCATTCATGGTGCAATGCATGGGAACCCTCCCCTGAACTGGGTGAACGAAACTCTGAGAAAGAAAAATGGTCAACTTTCTAATGCTATGGTGTAAATCATAAGAACTTCGAAGCATCAAGCTGACCTTTTGCAAAGGGTACCTGGCCTTTTGTATGCTTGGACATGATGGTTGCTTGGCTCATGGATTGCCAGCTGGAAATTCAATACTGGCATGATCTTGAAATACTCTTCATATCCTTCACCACCCTTTGCATCTGGTTCAAGTGCCCTTTCTATGCCAAAGACATTCAGGATGAGAAACATAACATAGCTTGGATCTTTCAGTTGCATGACCCAACTGATCTCGAGGCTGTGCACTGCAAATGAGAGATGTTCTGCCCTCACTTTGAGAAGAAAATCCTGGCTAATTTAAGCAGCTACTTCAACTGTGATGTGATCAAGAGTCTGCTACTTACCTTATGAGACATGGGGGAGGGAGACTGAGTTACACATGATCAAATGATAGAAGCAGTTGAGGCTGCAATCAAATCACTTCTGAGTGACAAGACTCCTGTGGGTCTTGAACACTTCCACCCTCAAGTGATGCTGGCTGAATGGAAGGCCACCCATGCAGTAATCAATGAGGACAGCAATTTCAAGATCCCGCCAAAAATGAGCAAGGCACTCCCACCAGGGGTGTTACATAGCATGGCACATCATCAACCCTATGTCAACAATGGAATTTTCGATCATGTTTTGGTGATCCCTCTGCCATCAACTGTGAAGGGTTATTCCCAGTCCAGTCAGCAGTGTGCAGCTAGTGGTAACCTCTCCAACCCATCATCCTATTGTCAGTGGCTAGACCAGAACAAAACTGTGGTGAGGAAGCATCCATATCTGCAAGAGGATGCTTCAGCAGTCTATGTTGGGGTGTTCAGGGGCTCACAGGATGCAGGTGGCAAGAGGCCAAGGTTGGGTGAGTCATGAGACATTTTGTGTATAGGAAGGTTGCATTCAATTGGTATCTTTGTGTTTTCATTATTAATTTCAAGTCTTATCTTTGAGGCATGTGGTAGATTCAATGCATATAGGTATGTAAGTGGTGTAGACAATCATGTATCAGGAAAGTAGGAGTTGTGCTTATGTTCTGTATGTGTGTCTTGTGCTTGCAGTGGGCTTGGGACACAATCTTGATTGTTTGCAGCTTGAAAATATATAAGTGCAAACTATGAAGGCATAGATGTTGAAATACATCATGTTCTGCCTGAGCCAATGTGGTGTTCTCCTTGGGCTGGGTCTTGAAGGTTGCAAGTGCCTTGGCTCCATGCTCTAGTACCAGTGGTCGTCCTCAGTTTCAAACCCTGCAATTTGGCACCAGATTTGGTTCTGAACTGAAAGTATAAGGGACCGTACTGGACAAATTGTTTTTTTGCTTTGCAAAACTTATCTTGAGCTTAGACCATGATATTTTGATTTTGACCTTGATGTTGAGAAGCTTGACTTTGATGTTTTGATTTTGACTTTGAGGATTTTCTGGGCAAGAGCTTCCTTCACAACCTCAAGTCACTCATCCTCCATCAGTAAATCACTATTTTCTCCACAGAGATTGACATTTTCGATATTTTCTCACAGTAGTGCACAGTACTGACAGAGCTCACAGGATATACAGCCCCATATGTTATCAGACTGCACAGCAACATACAGTGCTGACAAAGCTCACAGGATGTTAAGCCTCATACTTTGCCAGACTTCACAGCAATTGCAGTTGTTTAAAGTATGGATACAGTGTAAGTGACTTGATTTTGAAGCAAGTGGAGTACCTCTGAAAGATGACACTGACTTATTTAATTCAATGCTGTTTAACAATGTTTCAAATGCAAAATAAATTTCATTCTTGACAACAGGCAACATATAAACATACTAGGTGTAGAACTACATATCTATATGGTTCATAAATGTATCAAGGACATAGTACAGCTATATGATGAGTATGAAACAAAGTGGTCAATCAAGAATTATTGTGGGTTGCTGGCTCTGCAGGATTTTGAGATCTGATAATATTATAACAATGACATCACAAAAGATGATATTACACCTACCAAATGAACTCATCTGATCCTGTCTTTGCAATAATGCATGACTTAGAGAGAGATGAGACCAGCTGTGCTTCTTAAAGATGATCCTCATACATCCCAGCCCAATGTTAAGGTTGCGTGCTCAAGGGGGTCAGATCACAAGGGCTTGGCCTCAGCTCATATGCTGTGCCCCTTTCCCAAGTATGTGCCCTTAATTTCCGGGGGCTAGAACAGTCGTCCAGAGTTTCCGGGTTTTGACTAGGGCAGATAACGGACGTCTGGATCTGAAATGTGAGATAAATCCGACGGACGTCCGGATGTTACCTGGCAAGCAGATAAGACTAATCTGGACAAAGTCCAGACTAGAAACTAACAGAGGATGGACTACCCTTAAGGTAGAGTTGGAAATGTAGTCTAGGATGCAATCCTAAGACTTGGAATATGACAAGAGACTTATCTCGAGTCCAGAGGACACAGGAATGAGCAGGAACTAAGATGATATTCAAACTGGAGTATTTCCAAGAGCTACAGGAGGTTTATATACTGTAGGTATCATATAGGAATCAGTCAGCAAACATAAAGGCTATGTATGAAGCATATGCAGAGTCTATTAGTAAGTAGGACAGATCACAAATAATGAACACTGGAAATGAAATGTATGTAACAGATCAATAATCAAAAGGGAAACATGGATAACCAGAGTCCAGAGACAGGGGCAGTCTAAATGGAGTTGGGCACTGATATAGGGTTTGGATTCCAGAAGGGAGATAAAGATAGATCAGATCATTTGAGATCTGGATCTCAGATCCAGATATCCGGAGAAGTGGATTTAGAGTTGAGAGTCCGGAATGGCATATGACACCCAAGGTCAGTATCATCTACTTTATTTTCAGTGGCTTCTGCTCAGAATTTGAGTAAGCTAGTAAACACCTCATTTTCCCATAGTATACAATCTGCAAGCATCTTCTGAGTGAAGAAAATTTTGCATTTTGCTCTGACAACATCCATGACCAAGTTTGCCTTGGAGTCTGACAGTTTGTGGACAGACTATTGAAATGTGGGGTGTATTGAGGAACTGATGGATGAGATCAACTTGCCATAGAACTGACTGCTTCAAGGACATCATATAGGTCACTAATACTGGTGAACAGTCCATCACTGTGATTATTGTCAGAGCCAAAATGGGTGAAAGGTAGGGAGCAGGAAGCACTTGCTGACAATGATCACAGAGTGGTAATGTCAAATTTTGATGACTCAGGAAATATGAGGAGAGAATGTAAGTGTAGATTCCAGAAAATGCTGGTCAATTCTGACCTTGTCTTTTCTTAGTCTACAATCCTGGCATTATGCCAGCTTGCTGTTCTTCTTGCAGGAAAGAGTTCAAGGACCATACCTCTGTTGCTTGTCATATGAGCCAACCTTGTTCTGGGTGTAATACTTGGCTAGAATATTTGATCCAGCTTGACTTGATTCTCCCACCCAGCCATGATCCTATGGTCACAGATCATGAACAAGACAATATGAATATGTATGACTTCAGTAGTGAAGGAGATATTTTTGAGTGAGAATCTGGAGGTAGAACTCAGGATAGGGACGCCGAAGTAACTGACATCTTTCCTGAGCCCCTGCTCACCTTTGAACATGGCTACACATTTCTCAGTCTATTTGAATCTGATGAGAATAGTGTCCACCACAAAACTAACCTTCACTATCCATTTTCAAGTAGGAGAGAATGGCAAGTTGTGGCATGGCTTCTGCATTCTGGCCTAAGCATGGGGCAAATTAATTCTTTTCTAGCATTGGAGATGGTCCATGCTTTATTTTCAATGTTATTGCAATCACTTGAGTTAATGGCACATACTTAGATTCAGGATCTACATCTATCATTCTACTCAGTGAAAGAGCTTTGAGGCCAAGCTGAATCACTACCGACTGGTCTGCATTGGAAATCCCAAGTCATTCGTACATCTCATGCTACAAAGTCACCAGTTATTCTCTACTGGTGGGATCCAATCAAGTGCATTTCCAGTTTATTCAATCACCTGCTACTTCACAACTGTATGGACTTTACATCTTGCAAGGATTATACTATGGTGCAGAAATGGTCTCAGGTGTACACTGAGGCCAAGCTGAATCACTACTGACTGGTCCATGTTGGAAATCCCAAGCCATTCATACATCTCATGCTACAAAGTCAGCGGTTATTCTCTACTGGTGGGATCCAATTGAGTGCATTTCCAGTTTATTCAATCACCCACTATTTCACAACCATATAGACTTTACATCTTGCAAGGTTTGTACTATGGTGCAGAAATGGTCCCGGGTGTACACTGAATGGATGACAGCTGACCATGCTTGGGAAATGCAGGTATGTGATGCATCTTATATGAATTCGTTGCCTAATATATTGTTGAAGTCAGCACTACCTCATGGTGCAACACTCCTTGGTACTATTTTGTCTTTGGACAAGACATGTATCACTGCATTGACAGGTGATTGTGTTGCACATCCACTCCTTCTCAGCATCACCAACATTCACATGAACACATGGTTAAAATCATCCTTAAACACTTTCGTACTTACTGTGCTGTTACCTGTCCCTAAATTCATTCACAAAGAGAAATGCATGAAGGGCTTGTTACAGGATCAGCTTGTTCATCAGTGCCTGGACGTTGTATTAGAACTGCTGAAGGTGGCTACTCAAGAGGGCATCATGTTGTCAGATCCTACTGGACGCAGTTGTTACTGCTTTACCCCACTTGCAAGTTATATCACTGATACCCCTGAAGCCATTATGCTGGCATGTGTTGGTAGAAAGATGTCTCCTGTTACAATGGCCATATACAAACAATTTGGAGATGCATTCTAACATGAATCCCACACAAGAGCAATGACTCTTGCACAGCTAGATGTTGTGCACTTGTGTGCCGATCAAGATGATATTGAAGCATTTTTTCATGAATTGCAGAAGTTCTGCCTGAATGACATTGCAAAGCCTTTCTGGAGTGATTGGGTATTAGCAGATCCTGACTGGTTTTTCACACCAGAATCTTTGCACATCATTTACAAGAAGTTTTGGGATCATGATGCACAGTGGCTTATCCTTGCAGTTGGAGAGTCTGAGATAGACTTTTGCTTTTCCATCTTACAGCCCACTACTGGTTATCAGCATTTCCATGAAGGCATCTCAAAACTTAAGCAAGTGACAGGTCATTGCCACCAGGATGCTCAGTGATCCATTATCGCAGTCTGCACAGATGCAGCATGCCCTGCTGTCATTGTTGCTGTTCATGTACTTTTGCACTTCCATTACCTCATACAATCACCTTGCATTAACAATGATAATATCTGCTACATCTCAGCTGTGCTAGATGAAGTCCATGCTAATAAGGATGCCATCATCAGTGCTAGAGTTTGCTGAGGAAAAGGCCATACAGTTATCGACAACTGGTACATACCTAAACTCAAGCTTATGCAAAGCATTGTGCCTAGCATCCACAGCTCTGGCATCACAGAACAATGGTCTGCAGATGTTACTGAGCATGTGCATATCATGGAGATAAAAGACCCCACAAGGTCCAGTAATAATAACAACTATGATCCCCAAATCTGTCACCATCTTGACTGTGTGGATAAGTGCAATTGGTTCAAACTTATGACAAGTCTTCTAGACTGCAAGCCAGGTACTGAGGAGTTGCAGGGCATTGGAGAGGAATTTGCTGTTGAGGATGATGAGAGTGATGTGGATGATACTCTCACAAGACTGTCCTCTGGATTTCGATGACCTGGACAGCCACATTCTATCTTGAACTACTTTGTGATCGCCAATATGCTCCAGCAAAGGGAAATTGGATCAGTGCCAGTACCATTACACACCTTTGTTGTCATACAGACAGCATTTTATCTTGCTTACAATTCTTCTATCAAAAGTGTTACTCTTGATGAAGTTGCCATCAAGTTTGGCCTACCAGATCTGCGCCCAGCTATGGCTGATTTCCTTCACCATGAGGTAACTTATGGTAATTGTGTTCACCCAATTGGTGGTCCAAGAAGGGCTGGACATAACACTGAACTTCCATTTAATCAGGTCCAAGTCTGGTTTAAAATCCATTTACAGGAGACAGAATTTCATGATATTCACAGTATTTGCCCAGCTCAGACACTAAACTGTGCACCACCCAGCAATCCCTGGACGTTGGGCTGTTATGACAATGTCATTATTCAGACCAGTGAAGAGCACTCATGGCCTGTCAGTGGCATTTCAGGTGCATTCTTTCTGCATTTATTGTGATATCTACTGTCAGTTAAAGAATGATTCACATAGGTCATTCCATTGCAGAGATCAGATTGATCATGCAGCCAATTGACAAAAGCTGTATGCAGTGGGCATGGAACAATCAATTCATTGCATATGTTCAACATTTTGATATTTCTAATAAACGTGATCCAACCACTCAGTTACACATACTGAAAAGAGCAAAGCACTCTAATGACAATTGGATGGGTCATATTATTCCAGTCTTCCAGCTGAGAGAACCTGTCAATCTCATTCCCCACTTTGGTGCTGCTGCAGATAAGCACTTCACACCTTATAATAGCATAGAGCATGCGACAGAGTTTTGGTTAAATTCATTTTGGGACAGAAATACCTTTTTCGCCTTATCATAGCAGTATACCTCTTACTTGATAGGTTCAGTTTTGGTGTGCTACAAAATCACTCATGCTAATATTGTTGCTAGTGGGAAATAGAATAGTCTTCATTGTTGCTCTCACATCCATACTATGGCATATCATAGCAAAACTGTTGACTATGGGATTAAGATGGTGTCACTAATATCAGCTCCCTACATTAGCAATGTCCATACTATGGACAAACTGACAGATCATGAGCTCAATCACTTGATCATTGAAGAAGAAGAACCACCAGATGATGGTAACAAGCCTTTTAGTTTTATGCTTGTGCAGATTTTTCAGTCATTTATGGTCCCACTCCCTGATGTGATGGAGCTGAGGGTCCCTTTACATCAAATTTGCTACTGTGATCACAGATTCCACAGAAAATTCACCCTCACTGATGAACAAGACCTGGTTCTGCTGTTTGATGAAGATGAGCAGCAGTGGAACTCATTGGTAAAACTATTGATAACAAGGCATATCTTCTCTTGAGGCATCAGCCTTGGAGGTGATTTGTTCTACTGCTGTCCCTTTCTAATGGGTACCATGACCTGCAAGTACACATGTATGATCACTCAGGTGGTGTTGTAATGCCTTGTGTGAATATTGTCAGTGATCCAAACCTCTACCTTCACATCTTATCCTGCCTTGTCTTCAGCAATCTTGATTCCTCAATCCTCATCTTTACAAAGATGCTTTGGGGTGCCCAGCTTGAAAATATGTCAACCTTTTCTTGCCTGACAACAAACAAATTACCTGCTCTAGATCCTGCATGGCAGGAATCATTAGTCAAACCCCTGGTGGATGGGGCTACCCAGGTTGGCAGTACTGCCCTCCCCCAGACCAGGAGTGCCCCCACAGCACTTGATGCACCAGCAAGTATCTCCATAAGCAAAGCTACATTAACTGCCAACCCCCCAAGACAGAAATCCTCACGGATCCTCTTTGTATGCATCCCCCACAGCCAATTGGAAAGATATTGGTTAACAAACAAACATACAACATCCTCAAGCTCATCTTTTTTAGCCAGGGACTTGTTCTTCCAAAGGATGAGCCTTCCCCAAAGCTTTTATTCATGAGAAAGGTCATTTATGTACTCCCTAGTGGACTCCCTGGACTCCCTGATGCACCAGCTTATCCTGGAGAGTATGATGTGAAATGAGTAATTCTGTGAGATGAATTGTTAATGTGTGCTTACACAGCTGGAATTCTGTGGGCTATCTGATTAGTCCTCAAGCATGTCATCATCTGGCATGAACCTATCATCAACCTGGGTCATGTCGGGCTGATCCAACCATGTGATGGTCAGTGCCAATGTCATCATTGCTATCACTGTAAGCCATACACTGCTCATGTGTTGACACTACAGTACTGCAAGTCAGTGTGTGTCTGGGATGGTGCAAGGTTCGAATGTACATCTATCTGGTGTATCATGTGTTGTTTGTTGATCCTGTATGGGGAGACCTTGCATGGCATCATCATGCACAGGAGATGAAGGAATGAATTGCTCTCTCCAGAGGCTGGTAATGATGATGTCAGGTTCAGATGCACTATCATTATCAGCAGGGATGGACAGCACTCTCTGGAAGCCGGTGATGATGAGGTCAGGTTCAGATGCAATGACATTGTCAGCAGGGTTAGACAGCACTCTCTGGGAGCCAGTAATGATAGGGTGAGAGTCAGGTGGACTGTAATCATCAGCAGGGATGGGTGGAGCATTCTGGGAGCCACTCACACTGAGGTCAGGGTCACCCATGTGAGAGGCCAGGTGTGCGCTTGAATCTGCACCCACAGCATTACTGTCAGTGTCATCCACATATTGCTGGATGCACTCAATGGCCATCAGCACAGCTTTTGCCTTACCCTTACCCTTCCCCTTCAACTTCGGTCATGGCTTAGGTCTTTCCTTTGCCTTTGGCTTAGGTGCCACTGCCTTCTCCTTGGCCTTCCCCTTTCCAGTCACATTCTGTTGTCTGCTTGAAAGTGCAACATTTGCATCCACATCCTGCTCATTAGCATTCTCAATGTGATCAGGACCAGGATTGGTGGTGTCTTCATCCATTACTATGGGGTCTTCATCAATCACAATGGATGAACTGTTGAAGATGTCTCTGTTGTTGTCACCAGTTGGTTGTATGTTCTGAACCCAGTTCTTGCCACCATACGTCCTGACTACTTTGTGTTTAGTACCTTGTTTGACTGATGTGGATGCAGCAGACTGCCCAGAGGCTACAGATGCTGACTTGTGTGAGGATCCAGTGGCAGATGCAGAGGTGGAGGATGTGGGTTACTCCTATGAGGAGGGCCATCTTGGATTTCAATCTCATAGTCACCTTCATCTTCATTGTTGCTCTCTTTGAGTTTTTCTCCTCGCATAGTGCATTGAATCTTGTGCATGATATCTTGTAGTCAATAATGTGGTAGTCAGATTATTAATGTCAAGGACAGACAGGTATTCACATACCTTTGTTTTTGTCTAAGAACTAGCCTAGCATCATGCCCTTGCCTTCATCGTGGTTGACCATAAGCACATTGATGGTGCCTAGTGCCACCATATTATAGATAAACATGGTATCCTCTTGGCCAAGCTGCCATGCATGGCTAATGATTTGATTGACAAGCATCTTTGACCAACACTGATCCTGCAAGTGCATGAGTTGAGATGGCTGGCCAGCTGGTGGCAGCTGAGACTAGTGATGAACGCCCACAAAGAGAATCACAATGTTTGCCACCATAAGATTAAGACTCACCACCCCAAAGGTGGAAAACAGCAGGACATGCTCCTCCAGATCAGTGTTAAACTTGTGAATAATTTTGTTGTGCTCATCAGTGGTGTGTGAGCCATGTAGCGTGAGCACTGATATATTGTGTAGCATAAGAATCTTAGACATAACTGGTCAGCACATAGGACAATGGAGTGGTCTGACACGACTCTCACAGCTTTCAGCAAGGGTGCCATCATGGGGAATTCTGTAAATACCAAGATCTTTTGCCTGCCCATGGTTATGAGGTCAGGGAGATTATTCTCAAGAGAATGGAGGCCAACAAAATCCAGATCTGTATCTTTGTCATACTTGTCATCCAACTGTTGTTGCTGTTCTGCAGTAAGTTCCTTGTCGAGATCCCAGTATACACTGTTGTTGTCGGAAACAAGATGCCACTGGATGATCATCATAAGGCTGTCCACCTTAGTAGAGTGTACCTCTTCATATTCATTGACTGAGCTCATGGGAGGATAGAGTGGAGAATTGTGTCATGGGAATGTGACCTTCGTGCAACTCTCCAGATAAAATGACTGGTGAGTGACTGTGTGTTAGTGATGGCTCTGGGAGTGGGCCACATGGATCCTGCTCACTGTGTTGAATACACTGGTATTGTCTATATCACCCAATTTGCCACTGTGATGAAAGATAATACATGAGCCATGATACATGTGGGGAGACATGGACTCACTCACTGGCCAAAGATTTCATGCCCACATTGATGATCTGGAGCTCTTTATCATTCATGTACACAGGAACAATAATCATTTTGTAGGGAGGCAAGGTATCATTGATCTTCTTGCCATTGAATCAATGAGACTCGACCATGCACCGAATGACCCATCCTTCAAATCCAGCCCTGATATTGGAGATCCAGCTGGTTGTTAGTTCCTGCACACAAATCTTGGATTCTGGCTCTTTATATTGACTCCCAAAGCCTACCAGTCATTTAATCGTGTGAGATGCAGCAAGCTCCTTATCCTCTTTACTGATGATGTGCCATGTGGCACACAGTCACTTCAATTCAGCATCCTCCCACTCATCACCGAGAGGGCTGATAAAATATCAAATCCACAGTAGATGGGCAATATTGCACAAATCCTGCATGCAGTAATGGATCAGTGAGTTGCACTGCACTAGTCAAGTATGCCAGGCACATACCTTGGGGCCAGTGAACAATGAGAGCCATGATAGTGTCTCACATACATGCAAGATACCCATCCAGTTCATTGTGGGAGCCATGCGGGACACTTGCATACATACAGGCATATATTCATCCCATGTCCCTGTCAGTCCCTATTGGGAACTGTGTTATACTCTACCTCAACATACACTCTGTACCCTGCCAGTCCCAAATGGGAGCCTTGTCTAATTCTTCCTGGCATTTTCACTGCACTGTGGTAAACTCAAATGTCAGATATACTTGTGGACAATAGTGGTGTACTAGGGCAACTGGATCCCATCAACTGATTTGCAATTCATGATAGCAGACCTAAACCTTGATTCAATGATGTTATTGATCCATATTATGGTTCATACTATACTGATCTGCTCATCATCAGATAAAAATACATGAGACAATCTTATTGACTGAATTTTTATTCAGTTAATTGACATCCCATGCAGGGTTTGGCTTGATGCAATTGAACACTCCTCCACCAAGTCAACACCAACACCAACAGCACCAACAACATGTTGGCTATCCACACATGTATATATAAGAATGATCTGCCCAGTTGCCCAGTTGGTTGGTTGGTTGGTTGGTTCAATGCAGACCATTTCACACAACTGATCATTCTCACCAGAGGAATGGTTCCCCATGGGGGCTGCCTCAGAGGTATAGATCCACACCTCTTGTGCTCACCACACACAGAGTCCAGAAGAGTAGCTGTGTTATTGCAAATCAGTACTCATCCAAGACACCAGTGGGATCATGGTTAGAGCGAGTATCTCATCAAACCACAGGTTACCACACATACACTTCTGAATTGTGCCTGACAGTATTTCATGCACTGCCTTTATGATGTGTACAACTGGCAAAGCTGGCACTTGAAATCCCATCAGGATGATCTTGAACAAGGCTGTATTGGTAGTGGGGTCCTATTAGCATACACATCTAGGTGTTGTATAGTAAACTCAAGTTCGTATCATTGTCAAAATCACAACATATTTTACTGAATATATGTATGTGAGTTTGGCAGTGACATATGGCATCATGCAGCTTCTCTTAATTTGTGTGGCACCCAATGAGACCCAGCATCCATGTAGGTTGGTCTGACTGAGCATGAGGACTACCCTAAGGTAGAGTTGGAGAGACAGGAATTAGATTTAGGTCTAGAAAGAGGGTAAGTGCCAGAAAGGGAAAGCTCTGGCCTAGGGAATCAATCCCTAGGCCTGATGGATAGGACAGACTTAGGTGGACCAAAGTCCAAGAGAAGATTGGGCAAGTCTAAGTTGATATTCAAACTGAGGAAACTACAGGAGGGTTATATACTGGAGAATATCTGAGGGGATCAGTAAACAAAGGAGCAAGGCTATGTACAAGCATGTGGAAACACATTAGTAAGTAAATAAACTTGGAGATGAGAACTCGTATAAGGATCAATAAGCAAGACAGAACAAGAGGTAACTGAAAGCTGGAAAGGCAGAGATGTCTAAATGGGGATAGGTGCAGGATGTCAGACAGAAGGTGGGAATAGGTCTGGAGTTAATATCCAGAGATCTGGGGATCCAGAAGATGAGGTAGATACAGGACCAGGATATAAGACAGTGGATATAGTCCAGAATCCAAGATGAGATGAAGTTTAGATGTCTTGCTGGATGGAGTATGCATAGGGTGGACAGGATAGAGGGTATGGACCAGTAGTGCAGATCTGATGGTCTGGAGCTCAGGAGTAATTCCATAATGGAGCTGACCAGTGGATGGAGAACTGGGAATGAATTGGATATGAGGTGAGGTCCAAACATAGGCTCAGAAGGTGTGGGAATATGATGGATTGTGGGTCCAGATTGTGGGATATGATAGTCATACACTGTACCAATTGTCACAAGTCAAAATATACACAATATACACCTGGAGGAATCTCATTCTCTACAGTGCCCTACAATGGATGAAGGTCCAGGGTAAGGGTGCAAATAAAGGTGCACCCACATACTGCAATGAAGATGGTGAAGAGAAACAGTTGGACATTGATGACAAAGGCATCCTATAACAGATGAAGGTCTAGGGTAAGGGGAAGGGTAAAGGTGCACTCACATCCCACAACAAAGATAGTGAAGAGAAACAGATGGATGGTAATGATGAAGGTGCCTCACAAATATCTCCAGCTCTATCAGATGCAAATATGCATGTAGAGCTACCAGTAAAGGTGTAGGGCAAGGCAGCAGTACAATCAGCTGCTTGAGAAACTGGATAAGGCTGAACTAGCCTTAGCCAAGGTCAGGCTTGAGCATTTGCTCATTAGCCTTAATAATCTTTATGATTCTGATACCATCTCTTCCACAAGAAATTACATGTCAATTTTGACATCTTTGATGATATTCTTGATCAAATCTCTAATCACCCCATTTTCACTAACTGGTCAAACAACCCCTAGCTTCCAATTGCTATTCAACTGGCTATTTGCCTCAACCATGCTGGCCACTATGACAATGCTATCTCCCCAGATGATGTTGGTTAATGGGCAGGTGTCAGTGTTAGTTCAGTAATCAATTGCAGTAATCATGTGATGATTGCCCTCCTTGATCAGCATGACACATTCATCTCTTTTCCTGCTCCTGACTCTGAAAATGCTGAGTGTGCTTGACAATATGTTGAGGCTAAGTCTTGCCCTGAGTAGAGAAATGATATCCCTACAATTGATGGCTCAGCTATTAATTTGTATGAGAAACCTGGTCTTTATGATAAGGCATTTTATGACAGAAAGTCTAACTATTCCCTCAACTGTCAGGTATTTTTTTCTATTATTCTAATGGTTAAAAATTAATAAAAAATTCAGGCAGTTATTATGCCCCATAATCTCCTCATTACAACACACTCTGCATGAAGAATATGAAGGTCCAGATGGTAATGAAGTGGTAAGTGATAGGTCTTATGAAGGTACTCCTGGTCAACACACAGGGCCAGGTTGATGAGTCAATTGTTTGATAGTCTTTATTCAAAAACTCAGCAAAGGCAAGGATAGACACAAACTTTGACATCAAATATACTACATATATGCCAGCAAGTATTATTAAATAGCAGGGAACAAATGCCAACATGCAACTAAACAAGAACAGTGAGAAAAGACATACAACAACATGCAAACAAAAAAGAGGAGGCAGGAGGTACATACTACTTCTGGTTGAGCTTAGCATATTTAATATATAAGAGCATTACCTCCTCCTCCAACTCAAGAGCCCTTGCATCTGCTTTCTGCAAACAGATATCTTAGGCTTTGTTCTCCTGCCAGCATTGATGGATAAGTGTAGCACCTGTGTGCTTGTGAGCATGCTCCTTGTCCTGATGGTTAGTATTAAGCTTGACCATGAGACATTCATTCTTGAGTTGGTAGAGTGTGAACTTCTCAGGGTGCATACTCTCCAAGTTGTTATTCAGCATATCAACATGTTCCTGAACCTTTGTTTGAAGGCACTTCTTCACTAAATCCCTGCTGCTCAATCACTTGGAGAACAAACTTTATGAGGTTGGTGACACCTGTTGAGGAGAAAAAGAGTTTGAGCATCCTGATGAAGCTCTCAATGATGGAGTGGCAGAAGAAGTGCTCTTGCATATGATAACATTATTAGCATAGGACTTAAATGAGCTGTGACTGTTATGAATGGAGGTGCAGGAAGGAGATGCATCTGACTGGAGAGGTGACAGAGTGTGGGACAAAGGTGGCTGCTGCTTCTTTCTGCAAGAATTATTTGACCTAGGAAGACTATTCAAACTAAACATGTTGTGAGAAACACAATAAGGAGAGAACTGTAAAGTAGTTTTCTAATGTTAAGTTAAATGTGCTATGCCTAGCTGCTATTCAACTCTAAAGGGTTTTCTAACACTTGGCAAAGAGCATGCATAGTGGCCTGCAGTAGGATCAGGAATAGAAACATTGAGCTACAGATGGGCATATGAAGTGCCTGCATAAGGATCCTGTGAACCTCCTGCAGGATGAGTGATGGGTCAATGTTCTGAGAGATGGTCTGCATGCATGCAGACTATTGAAGTTATGGCCATAGGGCAGGCATTGCATTTCACACTCTGATGACATGCCAATGTGTACTATACTTATCAAACCTAAACTTTAGCAAAACTTAAAGCCACTGGCAAGACACTCTAGCTGAGCTTACTAGGCTTAGCAAATTTTCAGAAAACTACCTTGAATGCTACTAGTATAATAGAACTAAAAAGTAGGACTATGGAGTCTGTGTGTCAGAGAGCACTGCGATCAAAGATAAGAGCTCATAGAATGGAGTTTGAGTCATA